CCCTGCTGAAGCTTAGGACAGCTCATGTCTATCAGCTCTTCTTGGCTGTGGCAGGAAAACCGTGAGGAAAAAAAAATGACTGTCTGACAGCTACATCTTATTCTATTAGTATGTTTTAATTAGAACACGAGCAAGAAATGTGTTATGAATATTCATGCTCAAGGTTATTAAAATGCACAATTAATCTGTACTCAGTTTAATAACTGTATTAATGGAGAGAGGAGGTAGCTCCTATTTTTGTCATTCTCAATTGGAAAGTGTGCCTTAACTTGGGTAGTTGGGAAATTGGGTTGTTTTGAAATCAGCTTGGCTCCTGCCAGCAGCATGGGCACATGGGTGTTTCCAAAACTCACACACCTCAAGGTGGGAGAGTACTGGAAAAGTGGCAAAGCCAAGCCCTGCCAGGATGGAGCTCCCTCATGCAGACAGAATTCAGCTCAGTGCCATGGGAGTTTTCAGCCACAGAATCACAAAATCCCAGAAATGTTTGGGTTGGGAAAGACCTTAAAGCTCATCCAGTGCCACCCCTGCCATGGCAGGGACACCTCCCACTGTCCCAGGCTGCTCCAAGCTCTGCCCAGCCTGGCCTTGGGCACTGCCAGGGATCCAGGGGCAGCCACAGCTGCTCTGGGCACCCTGTGCCAGGGCCTGCCCACCCTGCCAGGGAACAATTCCTGCCCAAGATCCCATCCAGCCCTGCCCTCTGGCAGTGGCAGCCATTCCCTGTGTCCTGTCCCTCCAGGCCTTGTCCCCAGTCCCTCTGCAGCTCTCCTGGAGCCCCTTCAGGCCCTGCAAGGGGCTCTGAGCTCTCCCTGGAGCCTTCTCTTGTCCAGGTGAGCACCCCCAGCTCTGCCAGCCTGGCTCCAGGGCAGAGGGGCTCCAGCCCTGGCAGCATCTCTGTGGCCCTTTGGACATGATCTCTCTTTGGTGACTTGGATTTATGGGGTTTTTTGCCAGCCCTGTGGGTGTTTTAAGGCAGAGGATGTGTCCACAAGTATGGAGCAATTGGGGCCCAGAAGATTCTCAGGGGATCTCCATCTCACCTGGGGCAGCTCCTGGGTGATGCCCAGAGGCAGGAAACACATTCCCATGTGCCCCAAGGTGCCTCTGACCCTTCCTGGACACCTGGCTCACCTCTACAGCTGCTGGGGTGCCCTTGGATGAGCCCTGGGGCTTCTGAGCCTGTCCTTCCCACCCCAGCTTCCCTCTCTTCTCCCCTTTCCCCTTCCTCTCTCTCCACTCGTGTCCAGCCTGGCTGCTCTGTGCTCCCGGAGCCAGGGTGTGGGACTGTTTGGGGTGACACCATGCCCAGGGGCTTTGTGCTGTGAGTGGAGCCAACCCTGCTGATGGGAGCTTTCCCAGACACACCTGCCCATGGCCAAACACTGGGATTTTGCAGGGCTGGCTGAGGGCATTTGCTGCCAAATTGCAGATCCTCAGGAATACGAAGGGAGGGGAGAGTGGGCTGGCAGGGAATGTAGGACAGATGCCAGACGTGTAAAGAGGGCAGTCTGCTTTTTCCTGGCTTCATCCCAGAAATCCCTGAATTCCTAAAACACCTGCAGGTGCTGAAAATAGGGAGATTTTTTTGCTGGCGCTTTTCAAGCCAATGGCTGCAGCTTGGGGAAGGTGCAAGACTTTATTTTCCAGGAGACATCTGACAGAGCTGGCATGGGCACCTTCAGAGGTACTTCCAGAACCTTGGGATGCTCTTGCTGCTTCGGTGGGAGAGTGGAACCTCACTTTACCTTGGCAGCCACAGGAACTACCTGGAGGGTACAAGAAACCTTTTGGGTTTCCTTGGGGGTTATAGAATCCCAGAATCCCAGAATGGATTTGGTTGGGAGGGATTTAAAGCCCATCCAGTGCCACCCCTGCCATGGCAGGGACACCTCCCACTGTCCCAGGTTGCTCCAAGCCCCATCCAGCCTGGCTTTGGGCACTGCCAGGGATCCAGGGGCAGCCACAGCTTCTCTGGGCACTCTGTGCCAGGGCCTGCCCACCCTCACAGGGAGGAATTTCTTCCTGAAAGAAAGGGTTGGTTTGCTGTGATCCCCATTTGGGGTCACAAAGGGGCCAAGGAGGGGTTGGGGACCTGCCCTTGCTCTGGATGAGTGGCTCATCCTCTGCAGTTGCTGTTGGAGCACTCAGGGGTTTGGTCCCTCTCCAGGGTCTGTGCCATGGTGGTGGCACCACAGGGTGCAGCAACTCATGCCAGGGGTTTGTCCTTGTTGAGGGGATGTGTGACCCTCAGCCTTTGCCCCAGTGCCACTCTCTGTCTCCTCTCCTTCCTTCCTTGGGGAGACTGGGCAAGGGTTTGCTTTTATTTTTCAGGAATTTTGGCACAGAATCCCAGAATGGGGGAGGTTGGAAGGACCACAGTGGCCCATCTGGCCCATGTCACAGGGCACAGGATTGTGTCCAGACTGTTTTGGCATAACTCAAGAGAATATCTGAAGGTTCTTGAATATCTGAAGGGACATTCAAGGGAGGAAGACTCAACAACCTGAGGAAAATTTCCCTGGTCTTCCAGGCACCCCATCTCCCTCCAGAGCCCCCTGAGCATCCTCTCCAGGCATATTCTGGCCTGGGAGTGCTGCTCTGCTGCCAGTGGGGTGATGGCAGGACTGAGGGCTGTGTGAGAGGTCAGGGTGATCCAGGGGGACCCAGGACCCCCAAAGCCCATCCTGCATGGGGCACTGGTTGGGTGTGAGGGTCTGGACCCCCATGCCTTGGCTTCCCCTCTGCCTCTGGGGCTCCTGGGATTCCTCATGGGGACTGTGGTGTTGCAGTCCTTGTCCTTCCAGCCCAAAGGGAGCATTTTTCCAACCATGTCCAAGGCTGCTGATCCTGCTCATGTCTTCTCCCCAACCCTTGGGGAGCTTTAAAACCACCCGTGACAGCAAAATGACTCAAAGGAGTGTTTCTGCCTCCTGCCTCGCCAGGGTTTGCAGGGATTGCAGATGAATTGCTTTGGAAAAACACATTAGCAAAGCAAAAGTTTATTCTAGGAAGTAGGAGGTGGGAGAATTGGCAGTAATTCTCCCTAGTATCCAAGGTATTATTAGAGGCTTATCCCTGCTCTGCACAGTAATCACATTGGAAATTTTTGATTAGAAAACAAAATCTAAATGAGAATTATGAATATTCATTAGGTGTGGAGATTAATATGCATAATTATGCAAATTAGACAGCAATTAAACACCAATTCTCCGGGGAAATGATTAACACAAAGGCACAGAAATAGAAGGATGTAATTTGAAAGAAGTTTCTGGTTAAATGAACAGTGAGGGGAGCGGAGGAGACAAATCTGAGGCATGTTTGCCATAATAATCAGCTTTGCCAAGCGAAATGGGAGTGAGCCCTCACCCCCTGCCCCATGTCCTTGCTGCCACTCAGCTCCCTGCTCCCAGAAGGGCATCCTGGGGCACCTGGAGGTGCCATCCCCATTGGAAGAACCAGCACAGGACAGGTCTCCAGAGAGCCACGGGGCCCTGGTGCTGCCACAGGGCGATGCTGCTGGGAGAGTCTGGAGTCACTGCAGTGTGGCTGTGACCCCTGGTGGGGACAGGGGGTGTCCATGGGTTGGGAAGTGTCCATGGCTGGTCCACCCTCACTCTCGGCCTTCTGCAGATCTGGGATTTCTTCTGTCCAACCCAGCAGAGTCAGTGTTTGTGCAGTACCTCAAAAGATGATGGGTGCCACCACCCTGCCCAGCCCCTCTCAAATCCCTGGATTTGCCCCCTTAGAACACCGACTGCTGCTCCCCAGCCCCTGGTCACCCACTGGAGCAGGAGATGGAGCAGCACAGTTGGAGATCCTGCAGCTGAGTCAGGTCGAGGCTGTTTTCCAGAAGGTTCCTTCCGTGTGGTTGTGGTATCAGCTGCAACTGTGGGAGCTGTGCTGATGCAACATCCCAAGGGTTTTGTGTCATGGCGGACATTCCCAGCTCACTGAAGGGGCTCCAGGAGAGCTGCAGAGGGACTGGGGACAAGGCCTGCAGGGACAGGACACAGGGAATGGATGGGATATTGGGCAGGAATTGTTCCCTGGCAGGGTGGGCAGGCCCTGGCACAGGGTGCCCAGAGCAGCTGTGGCTGCCCGTGGATCCCTGGCAGTGCCCAAGGCCAGGCTGGGCAGGGCTTGGAGCAGCCTGGGACAGTGGGAGGTATCCCTGCCATGGCAGGGGTGGGATGAGCTGAGTGAGGTGCCTTCCAGCCCCAACCATTCCATGGTTCCCTGACTCCCCTGGGTGTAGCCCAGGAGGTGCCGCCTGTGTGGACTTGGCAGGGGATGAAAGGAGCTGATCTCCCACCGCAGCCTGTGCAGAAACATTGCAAAACCTTCTGCCTGCTCCTCTGCTGGTTTGAGCTGGATCCCTTGTGCTGAGGATACTCTTGGGAGGGCTAAAGCTGAGATGGCTGGGGGTGTGCTCTGATGGCCCCACTTCCTCAGGGAAACCTTGGGGGGCTGAAAGAGCACCCCAGGACAGGTGACTCTGTAACATTGGACCCCCAGAAATTCCCACCTAAGGATTTCACCTCTGGGCACTCCTTCACTCTGCCCAGGTTGAAGAGAGTTTGGCCCGTGTCTTGTACCACCATGGGCAAAATTCCAGTTCTGCTGGAGCATCCAAATGGATGCAATGTGTTTTTGATTTATAGTTCAATCCCTTTCACTGTCACTCTCCGGGGGAAGGAGGTTCATGGGTGCTCTCTGGAATAAAGGAGTTAAAATACTGGTTTTTCCTCTTCCCACTGTCCCATGTTTTGAACCATTTCCAGGCTGTGGTGGGATGTGCTTTGAAGTTTGTGGAATAACTCCCAGTGGGAGTGGGAAGGTGAGGAGGCAGAGGGGAGGCTCGGTCACGCCAAGTGGAAGTGGTTTATTAATGAAAATATTGTTTTGTTTGTAGAAGGAAGAGTTAATTTTACGAGAACACCTTTGAGGCTTTGCTGATAAAGCAAAGAGTAACCTTTGTTCTTCCTGTTTTTCGGTAGGCTTGGATGAAAGGCCGGGATCAGGTTCCTGGGGAACGGCAGATCAAAACAGCTCCACGTTTGACCAAGGAAGGGTAAGGACAAAGCACAAACACAAGCTCCAACCAAAACAAACGGGGTCTTTCCCAGGCCTTTCAGAGCCTTGGGTCTAACCCTGGCACAGCTTTTCTTGCCCCATTTTGGACATGGGTTCTGTGAACTCTAGGGTTTTCCCCATCCCCATCTCCCCAGGCTTTGCTGCCTTGAGGTCCCCTTGAGGTTTCTCCTCCAAAAACTTCTCCCAGATTTGCACTAGGACGGGCTCCTGTGGCTGCTCAGGCATCTCCCTCCCTGCACCCGGTGTTGGTGCGGGGAGAGGGGACCCAGGGGGTGAGACAGGTGCCTGAAGGAGACACAGATGGGTGGGTCAAGGGATCTCAGTGGGTTGAGGGCTCTCATCTGATGGCAAAACTTCCTGAGTATCCACCCCACAAGACTTTGAGAATCTGAGGAGGGAATCCCTGCAATCCACCACATTGTCTGGCCATGGCACCCTTTGTGGGGTGAAGAAATTGGGAAGGGTTTTGCAGGGAAGGAGTTGAGGCTACAACACTCATGATTGGGGTCTGAGTATGGGAAGAGAGAAATGCCACAAATTTCATGGAAATGGTGTAATTTTTGTTTTAATGGGTTTGTGTGATTCGTTTTTGCAATGGTACCTTTCCCTCCCCTCCAGTCAGTGGCAGAGCTGGGGCTGTTATGTCAACTCTCATTTGTATATTTAGAATTTATATAGTTATATAAATATATCTAAAAATATATGTTTATATTTATCCAGCCTTTTTCTTGCCCCTTCACCCCCCTGGTTCAGGGAGGAGCTGCATGGCTCTTACCTGGTGGGTGCCAAAGAGCTGTCAGCATGGGACAAAGCATGGTTCCATGTCCCCTCTTGCCATGTCCCCAGCTGCCATGTCGCCTCCCAACACCACGGCCTCTACACTGCCCAGCTCTCCTTGGCATGGGGATAAAATCCTTTCCACACCCTTTTCACAAGGAGCCTTTGGCTTTGCCTCTTCCTGGGGGAGGCTGGGCCCTGGCAGCCTCGTGTTTTGTCCCCAAGCTCTGTGTGACTGTCCCCTGTTGTCCCAGCAGAGCTATGGCGAAGGCCCCCACTACGGTGAGCACCGGGACCTGCCATCCCACAACAGCATCTCCTCGTCACCATTCCTGGGAGCTGGACTCGTGGGTGAGTGCCTGCAGCTGCCTGGCAGGTCCCCAGGCCGGGGGACACGTGGTGGGGGAGTGTTGGGATAGTGTTGCTGTTCCCTGTGCTGGACCTGCTCCAGGTGTTCTCCAAGCTGTAGTCCAGGGAGGTGGTACCCAGAGGGTTCCATCAGTGCCAGCTGTGCCAGCTGTTCTCTGTGTGTGGTTATGTTTCCCTGCTTTTTACCCTGAGGGAGTAGCAGGGGTCAATGCCTCCAGGGTGGGCTGAGTGCTCCTGGGAGCTGGGAATTAGGGGTGGGAGAGATGCTTATTGTTAAGGATTTATTAAGGACTTGGGATGACCCTGCTTGAGTGGGCAGGTGGCACCAGATGATCCCACCATGGTCACTTCCAACCAGACCCACTGGGTGACTGTGACATGCGAGGGGCTGGGGGCTATGCCACTTCCCAGAGAGCTGGTGGTGCTGCCTTTGCTGCAGTGGGGTTTGGAGGAGCCTCTTCCCATCTCCTGCCAGGCTCCAGCAGCCTTGTCTGGCCCCTCCATCCCCAACTCCAGGCAGGCAGCATGAGGAGCTCACAGGGACGGTGATCCCGCATGACCGGATGTGTGTGACCATTCACCCAGTCACCTCTCCCAGCTCAGGGGTGGGAGGAGAGATTAAGAGCAGAAAATATCCCTCCTGGAGGGCTTAGAGAGCTCTAATGGCATTAGATCAGGAATTGGGGTTAGTCCTCCCCATCTTTGCCCACACAAGGGTGGTTAAAACGCTCCAGCACATGTGGAAGGAGCAGGGCCGGGACAGGGCTTGCTCGTGGTTGGAAGGGAGGGGTAAGAAAAGGGAATCAATCATGTTTGAAACAGAAAATTCCCCCAACACAAAATCCCCCCTGTGGATGTGGTGGCAAAGGGGAAGAGCAGAGCAGGGTTGTGCTGGGACAGGAGCAGCCACACATTGGCCCCTCCTGGCCTGGGTCAGAGCTTGGGGCTCGCTGTGAGCTCTGCTTCCCCCTTTCACCCCTTGTGCTGTTGGGGACGTTTGGGTGTCCCTCGGGGATCTCTGCAGGGGGAGGAGCCTTTCTGAGCAGCTCCCCCTGTCCCTCTGCAAGGGAGGATCTTCCCTCTCCCTCTCTGCCCCCGGAGGATGTAAGTGGAGCACAGAGAAATTTTTGGGTAGGACAGGGAAGCCTTGCTGCAGCTCAGCAGAGCTTTGGGGGGATGTGCGTGGGGGAACCCATCCCAGCCCATCCCACACCTGGGGCCAAGGCAGCCCTGAGAGTTTCCAGCTGAGAAGGAGCTGCCCCGGGAGGAACACGGAGGTTTCCCCTTTGATGTGTGCGGGGAAGACGCCTTTGGCTGCCGCTCAAAGCCGGGCTCTCCCTGCGAGCCCGAGCGCTCCCGGCACGTGGGGCTCCCTGGGCGACTTCCAGTGGCTCTGGGGCCGAGGGTGAGCGCTGGCCCCGTGGCCAGCAGGACTGTGGCCACACTCTGGCCCCAGGCTCAAGGGGCTGTGTCTCCCCAGGGGGGTCAGAGGCAAGACCAGGAGCTCCACCACTGAGATAGGGAACAGGCAGGGCAGGAAGGGTTCCTCACATCTACAACTGCCTTTTGTTTCTAAAATTGAATGTGGTTAAAGTAGAAAGCATCGATTCTGGGAGCAGGTTCCAAAATACATAAATCACTTTTCATTGTAGAATCAAAGAATCACAGAGTGCTTTGGGTGGGAAGGGACCTCAAAGCCCATCCAGTGCCACCCCCTGCCATGGCAGGGGCACCTTCCACTATCCCAGACTGCTAGAAGCCCCATCCAGCCTGGCCTTGGACACTTCCAGGGATCCAGGGGCAGCCACAGCTGCTCTGGGCACCCTGTGCCAGGGCCTGCCCACCCTCAAAGCCAGCAATTTCTTCCCAATATCCAATTAAACCTACTCTTTGCTCATGTGCTGGGAAGGGAGGACATGGGGAAGAGCAGGGGTGGGATTTTCTCTTCCTCTTTTCCAAGCTGCTTCTGAAAACTCTTAGAGTGGCAAAATGCAAAGGGATAAGGGAGAGCACAGGCAGGAAAATAAAATAATGCTTCTGTAAAAGCAGAGGAAAAATGGGAGGGAAAGGGGAGTTCTGGCAGTGTGTCCCCGTCTGCCAGGTCCTGGTTGCCAGCAAGGTGCCCCTCAGGGAGGGAAGTTCATGTTAATGGGGTGGCTGAGTGGAACCAGGGGATTTCAAAATCTGAGGAGGTGGAGGGAACAGATGAGGATGAACAATTTGTGGTTGTTGATGGATGAAAGGTGTGTGAAACATCTAAGCCCTTCTCCAAGATTAGAATTTTTATCTCTTTCCCACTCAACCTCTGTTTCTTCAAGGAGGATCAGGAACTGTGGGAAGAACCATTTTGGGAGCAGCCTGGATGCTCTCTGTTGGCAACGGTGGGTTGGGCCAGTAGAGAGGGAGGCTGAGCTGCAAGGGCCCCCCAAAGTCAGTGCTGGGGCTCTGAGCACTCAGGGTGGTGATGGCTCCTCCTGGCACCCCCATCCTTTGGATTTTGTGTTCCTGGAGCATGTCCCAGGGCCAGGCTACAGCCCCCCATCCTCTGAGGATGGGCTTTAGGGACAGGGAGCACCTTTCCCCAGCAAAGGGACACTACAGCAGGCAGCACTTGGAGAAATTGAGCAAGAAGTGATCTCTTGCATCAATTTTCCACATGGAAAAGGAGGCCGTGCTCTGACCAATCTTTGGTGGGTTGAGGAGCACCTGCCAGCCTGAGCTTTGGAGCAGTGATCACATCCCTTCCAGGGTGGAGTCTTCCCCTGTCCCTGCAGGCTGGTGGCATTTTGGGGCCCTGGAGATCCTGAGGAGGATCCCAGGTGCAGCCAGTGCCCACCCTCCTACACAAGTCCTGTCACCACTCAGACTGATCTGACAGGAGCGGGGAGCAAGGAGGGAAACTGGGGAGCTGCAGGGTGGAGTGGCCCTTTGGGTAAGGGAGCAGTGGAATGTGTCCAGCCAGATTCCTGCCCAGTGTGTCTCTGTGCTGGGAGCTGGTGTCACAAACTCCATGAGCAGCAAACTCTGTGGGATAGGCAGGGCTGGAGGGATCTGCCTGGCCCAGGAGAGAAGGAAATCAGGTCTCAGTTTGAGGGGAGCAGGATGCTGCCAGCACATCCCTGAAACCTCTGTAGGCTGCATCCCTGCCCTTTCTTCCTGTCCTGGTTGGGCTCTTTGGTGTCACCCCAGCCCAAGCCCTCTTCCCCTCCTCAGGATCCGCCCCCCAGCCCGAGTCCCCTCCCAGGGACAGTGAGGAAGGGGCTGATCAGCCCCTGGCGTGGAGCCGGGGGAGTACAAAGCTCTGATTTAATCCCTGTTGTTCCCTGCAGTGACCCCAGAGAGGGACAGTCACTGCTCCTCACCCCAGTCCAGCCCATTCTTGGGGTGGTGACCTTGTGGATCACAGGGTGCACACCTGATCCAAAAGCAGTTTGAAAGGAAAAGCACTGATTTCTGTTCAGCCGTTGAGTTTGAGCTCATGGATGTTCTTTGGATGAACATGGGGCACGATGGGAGCTTGGCTTTAGGAGGCACCCTTCAGCACAAAGCCAAGAGGGGCTGCACTCACATAGCACCTGGGGGAGATGCTCTCCCCAGCCAGGGCTTCCACAGGGCTCCCTGCTCTCCTGAAAGGCACACTGTGAGGGGCTCTTGAGTTGCTTCCATCAGCCACAGCTTCAGCTCCACAGGTGATGGAGAAAATCAGAGCCCCTCAGGACAGACTGAGCAGGGACCTCTGGGCTGTGTTGCACTGGATGGAATAACCTAAATTTGTCAAAAGGATAAGAAAATAAATTAGAAAGTGCCAAAGGAGGGACACGGAGCTGGGGAAGGCTCTGAGGGGGGCTTGTTGGGGTGGCTGGGCAGGGACAGGGGCTGGGCTGAGCATCCCTGAGGGTCCCTCCCAGCTCAGGATATTCCAGGATTCCATTATTCTAAACCCCTGAATGGAAACACCATCAGTGCTCTGAATGAGAAGCATCCCAGGCTGCTGGGTGGGGGGCTTTGAACCAGGTGAGCAGGTGCAGAACCAATGTCTGAGCCCTCCATTGCTCCCTCCTCCAAGTTTCCCAACTTTGAGTCTTTGCTGCTGCTGGAGGACAGGAAACCTTCTGGGGCATTCTGAGCTTCCCAGCCTGGGCTGGGGAGAGGTGACAGGAGCATCCCTGGCTGTCCCGGGTCAGTGCCAGGACACCGCACAGTGACAAACCAGCTGGGAGGATCCCAGAGGATGAGGAGGGTGAGGAGGGCTTTTCTAAGTCACCAATTTCACAATTTACCATTCATCTTCAGCAGGGACAGGCGGGGAGCAGGGTGGTTAAACAGAGAGGAAACTGATAAGCCATAACAGATTTCTTTCTAGTAATTATTTCTAGTAATTAGCTGCCTTTCAGAGCAGTGTTCCTAATCGGGTGGGTATTGTCAGTGCTTGTAGATTGGGGTCTTCCTGGACAATGGGTATAATCAGGGGGTGGTCGCTGCTCCTGGCTTTTTAACTTCTTTTTTTCCTCCCCGTTTTTAATCCCTGACTGTGTTTTGCCTCCCCTGTTCCCCCAGGCCAGAATTCTAATGGAATTCTAATGGAATTAGCAGTGTGGGGCTGGGGGAGGTGCATGGTGGGTGGTGGCTGTGCTGGGGCTGGGGTGATGTGGGGGCACTGGTTCTGCCAGTGGGTGCTGGAAAAACTTGCAGGCAGCATTTAAATATTTTTTCTTGGCCTGTCAAGTGCAGGGCCAGGAGTTGGACTTCGATGATCTCTGTGGATCCCTTCCAACTCAGGCTGTTCTGTGATTCTGTGGTCTGAGAAATGACAAACCCACGATTTATTATTATTTAAAAGCAGTTTGCTCCAGTGGAGGTGAGATGCTGCCATGATCCAGGGTGCCAAAGCCAATCCGTGACACTGCCGGAGTGGGTGGGAACCTCTGGGAAGAGCAGTTTCTGTTTTTCCACCTCGTCTCCAAGCTCAGAGGCAGATGTGCACTTGGGAGGAGTGGCACAAACGGCGTGGGGGGTTCCTCTGGAAAAGCCCTGGGTGAAGGCAGGGCTGGGGGAGGCTTCCCAGAGCCCCACACAGCCAGATCCTGCAAGAGGGAACATGCTGGGAGAGGAGAGAGGCTGGGAAAGGCTCCTTAGGCAAGGCTGGAGGCAGCACAGGCAGATTTGGAGTCAGGAGAAGGAGCTGGCAGGGGGAAAGACAGGAGGGGGATGCCAGGAAGATCTGGAAATGCTGAATGCTCTCAGCCAGTGTCTGGGTGCCCTGACTCGAGGTGCCTCCATTGTGCTTCACCTCCTTCCAAAGGAAACCCTTTTCCTCTTTGAGGGATTTATTCCCACATCTTCTCCTCCTCCTCCCACAAGATCCCTTCACATCCATCTGCAGGATTTCAGTAATTCTGCTGGGAGCAAGGTGGGGTTTGGAGAGATTCCTGGTGGGTTTTTCCCAAGTTACTGAGACTTGCCTCCATCCTGGTCCTTGCCTCCTTCCTGGGCCTTTGCCACCTTTCCTGGTTGGTGCCCTGGGCTGTGGCTACCAAGGGGTGACAGGGTGGGTCTGGGCTTGCCACCTGTGCCATCTGCATGCCCTTCTGCTGCAGAAACAGCTCCTTCTGCTGGCAAGGTCAGCCTTTCCTTGCCCAGCTTGTGCACCTTTTGAATTTCAGCAGGCTTAGGTACATTCCAGTCCAGAAAGGTGCCATTCTTCCTTCAGCCGTGTTTTCATAGACATTTAAATGTAAAATCTCTTGTGCTGAGTTTTTTACTGTTTTTTTCCCTTGGTATGTGATGATGGAGGGTGCAGGAGCTGGGGCTGGCCAGGGCTGCCCTCTCTTTCCCAATGTCTCCCATCCCATGGGGCACCCACAGACCCAAGGGTGCAGCAGTTGCTGAATGAGGAATGAGAGACATCCAGAGAAGGTTGTGGGTTTGGTGCAGTGCAGAGCTGCCACTGGGTGCTGCCCCATCCCTGGGCAGGATCTGACACTTGCCTTGTTAAACTTCAAATGGTTGGGGATTGCCCAGTGTCTCTTCACCTTCCCACACACGTCCAGGAGCCCCTGGTTCAGCCCAAGTTCTCTGGTGATGGCAGAGACTTGGATGAGCTTTAGGGTCCCTTCCTACCCAAACCGTCCTGTGATTCTGTGATTCCCCACTGCAGTCACACATGGAAGCTTCAGTGTGTTATCAGATGGGAGACCTGGCTGCTGCTGTCCAGCCAACCCCCGCTGGCATTACCCTGCTTTTCCTCTGCTTTAGGAGTAATCAGAACCTGCCTGATGCCACAACCTGCTGTGTCCTTTCTGCCCGTGGCTGGTGCTGCGGTGGATCGAGCTCTTAAGCTGTTTTAGAAATTAGGTCATTTAGGAGATCCATCCTTTGACATTCTGACCTTTGTTTACTTAACGTTTAAGCCTCTGAAAGGCAATGGCAGCAGCACCAGGGGCCTCCGGCTGTCACTGCATGGAAGGAGGGGGAGGCTGAGCCATGCCAGGACCTTCCCAGAAGGAATGGGGGTCTGGGGCTTGGGGGTCATAGTGGGGGAATCCACTCTAAAATTTCTGGGTTGAGTTCATGACCTCCATGGTAAGGTTGCAAAATGAGCAGCCTCCTCTCTCTTCCCATCTGGCACATGAATCACAGAATCCTGGAATATCCTGAGCTGGAAGGGACCCACAGGTTGATGAGTCCAGCCGCTGTCCAGAGGGTCCAGCTGTGGCTGCCCCTGGATTCCTGGAAGTGTCCAAGGCCAGGCTGGATGGGGCTTGGAGGAATCTGGGACAGTGGAAGGTGTCCCTGTCCATGGCAGGGGCTTTAAGAGATGGGCTTTAAGATCCCTTTCAGCCCAAACCACTCTGGCATTCTCTGGTCTCTGGGCCCTGTCCTTCATGGGGGATGGTTTGAGGCATTTTGCTTCCCCTCCCCTCTTCATCTGCTCTCAGTAGTGTGGGGAGGGTCCTGCCAGCCCCAGCGTCGCCCCAGTGCATTAACCTGCATCTTAGTGGCCTTGGGGCTGGCTTTAGGCTAAGCAGATTGGCAAAATCCCACTCCTCCCAATTTTGCTCACTAAGCCAGACCAGAGGCAGGATGTGATCTGTGATCCCCTTTTCGTGAAGGGTTTGGGGGTGGGGGCTGGTGGAGTGCCTGTTCCCCACGAGAAGAGTGTCTGGTTTTGCTTTAGAGGGATGGAGAGAATCCCAAAGGACACTGTTGTGCCTCCAGCTGCTGCAGGCACAGCACAGAACCATTCCCTTCCTCCCTTCCTTGTGTCCTTTGCTGCCCTGGCACTCCTGGCTGCTGCTGGCTGGGGCCATACTGTGTCCAGGGCAGTGACCATGAGGCAGGAGAGTGCCAGGATGTTTTGGAGAGGGAACATCCCAGCAGGTATCTGGGCTCCTTTTTTTTTGGCCCTTCAAAATGTTATTTTCAGCTGCATGTGTGCAGGGTGAGGTGGTTGTGAGAGAAGCCCTCATTGATCCTGAGTGCCAGGACAAGGCAGAATGGCTTCCCAGGGCCAGAGGGCAGCGATGGATGGGATATTGAGCAGTGTGGCCAGGCCCTGGCACAGGGTGCCCAGAGCAGCTGTGGCTGCCCCTGGATCCCTGGAAGTGCCCAAGGCCAGGCTGGACAGGGCTTGGAGCAGCCTGGGACAGTGGGAGGTGTCCCTGCCATGGCAGGGGTGGCACTGGGTGGGCTTTATGGTCCTTGCCAACCCAGATCCTTCTGGGAATCTGTAACTTCACAGGGGCACGTGGGCACTGCGGGCATGGGGCTGTCCCCACACAGATCCCAGCTGGCTGTGAGGAGCCACAGGTTTGGGAAGCTGAACCTCCCCCAAGAGAGGGGCAGAAAGTGCCCAGTGCCCTGTGCAGAGCAGGAGCTCAGCTCTTGTTTGCTGGGATTGCATTTCCTGTTGTCTGGAAAGCACCCCCGGGGTCTGTCACTTGTCCTGGCCCTTGGTCTGCTCCAGCCCTGCCCCTGCCAAGTCCAGCTGGCTCTCGGTGTCTGCAGGGAGCTTTTGGCTCGGGGCTGACACTGCCAGTTTTCATGGCCACAAACACTTCCCTGTGCCACTGCAGCTCTGGGCTTTTGGTAGTTTTGGACCTGCTCTCTGTGAACTTAAAGCAGCTCCTGCTTTAGCACAAGCTTTTCAGGCTGTCCCTTCATGGGAGGGCAGGGTGAGCTGCCTCACAGGAACAGGATTTGTCTCTTGGCAGGATCCAGGTGCCTGGGGGCAAAAAAAAAACCCTCCACTTCCCTCTTACCCCAAACCTTGTCTTCTCTCCTTCTGCAGGGAAGAGCAGTGAAAGAGCCTCCTACTCCACATTTGGAAGAGACACAGGGATGCCAGGACTAAACCAGGTAATGATATAATGCAGTGAGATTTTCTGCTTCATTTACTGGCTCCCGAGAGCAGGAGTCTGGTAATGAAAACCAGCCTGGATTTACATCTCATCTTCATGCATGGGGTCCTGGGAAGCCTCTGCTCTGCTCCAAAACCTCTGTGGAGTGTTGGGGCTTCATACTGGTGTGTGCTGCCGGCTCAGAGGAGTTGTCAGAGGTTAGAAAATGTTGGTTGTAGCAGCCTCTTACTTCTTTCCTAATCTTCTTCAGCCTCGCTCATTTTGTTATTGTTACTCCTGGTGTGTATTTGATCAGCCGTGACCCAGGCACGCTGCCTTGCTGGGGAGTTCCAGGGAGTCAGATCCAAGCAGCACCTTTCCCTGTGCCAGGCTGGCTGTGGGCAGGGGAGCATACCAGGAGGCTCCTTCCCCCTCCACTGCCTGTCCTGGGCTTTCCCTCTCCCTCCTCAGCAGCATCTCCCAGCTCCCTGGCCAGTGTCCAGTGTTCCAGTTCTGGTCTCTGGGGTGTTTTCTGTGCTGCTGCAGCATCATTTCAGTGACTGTCAAGTGGAGCTTTAGTTTATGGTGGGGCTGTTGGTGCAGGACCTGCAGCAGGAGCTCTCTGTCCAGCCCTGGGGCCAGCACCCCTGGCACAGGGTGCCCAGAGCAGCTGTGGCTGCCCCTGGATCCCTGGCAGTGCCCAAGGCCAGGGGGCTTGGAGTGACCTGGGACAGTGGAAGGTGTCCCTGCCATGGCAAGGGGTGGCACTGGATGGGTTTAAGGTTGCTCCCAACACAAATCCTTCTGGCACTCCATGATCTCCACAATCCTGGAAGGAACCAGAGCCACCTCTTGCAGACACAGCCCAGCCCTGTTGGGTCACCCCGTGTGAACCCCTGGGCTCTGCTGGGGAGAGCAGCTTTGCTTCCTGTGGGGAATACCAGAGGCGTCAATCTGAGCCCAGAACACAGCAGAGCAACCCTGAGATAACCTCCCCTGCTGCCAGCAACATCCAGAAATAGTTTTTTGGGAAGGAGTGAGCACCTCCCTTTGATGTGTGACTCCAAGTGCCCCCTCGGTGCCCAGTGCGGCCCTGGGGAAACAGTCCCAGCATTGGAGCCAAAGGAGGAGCTTTTGGCCGGACAGCTTTTATTTTATCCATGTACACACACACACATATTACATGTTTTAATTTTACACAAATTTGTCATAATTTCCTCCTCTCTGAAGTGAGGATGTTTCCTTTGCTGGAGCAGCTGTGCTGGCTGTGCCAGAGTGAATTTCATTTACCACTGAAGCTGCTCAGAGAAAACCGGGCCCAGTGCCAAGTGTTGCTTTTGGATGTGATGGTTTTGCTGGGCTTTCGTGGAGGAGGGGGAATATAAGGTAACAGAAATGGGGGGGCAAATGGTCGGGAGAGGCAGGCACAGGGCTCAGGATCGGGTGGCAAATCCCACTTGATGTGGAGAGGAGACAAAACCCCCTTGTGGGGGGTGGGGGGAGGCCAGAGGAGCCTCTGTGGCCCCCAGAGCAGTTGTTGCTTCTGGCTCCAGTTTGGGGGAGTGAGGGGGGTTGGCTTTTTTTTTGTTTTGTTTTGTTTTTGAAGCTATGAAAAATTGTGTGATGGAAATGCCCTGGATGGGGATCAGGTTCTTGCCCAAAAATGCCCTGCTCTGGTAGGGTAGAGCTGGCAGGGCATTTTCCCCTTGTTTAACCCTGAACCATCTCCTGAGGCATCCCCAAGGAGAGGAAACGGGAAGAAAACCCCTTTCTCTGGGAAATTGCTTCAAAGTCCCAGTGTGTCTCCTGCCTGCAGGAGGAGCAGGGCAGCAGCTCCCGGGATCCCTCCGGGTGCTTTCCTTGGCTGAGCACAGAGCGGGTCCAGAGCAGAGGAAACCTGAGCAGTGGAACAGATTGCAGGAATGTCACCAGCTGTGAACACACGAGCTCCTCTTTCCCTCCCTGACCCCTTTCTGGAGGAGACAGAGTTTGAAGCAAAGGTTTTTCTTTCCAGTTTCGCAAAAGCCTGAAATCCTCCTTTATTTCCATGTGTTGCCCTCAGAAGATGGGTCAAAGCTGAGCTTTTGGGACTTGAGGGCCCTTTGGCAGCCCTGTGCAATTCCATGTAAATACACTGCACTTCCTCCCGAGGTGAGAGGGGCAGTGCTGGAGGAGAGGCTCTGTCCCAGGAGGGAGCACCCTGGGCTCTGGCTCTGCTGCTTCCCAGCGTGCCCAAGGTCAGCCGGGATAAACAGAGGGAGGAGTTTCCTGGCTTTACAGAGAGGGATTTGGCTTTTCCCTGATAAAACTCAGGAGAAAACCACCCTGAGCAGTGGCAGCACAGTTCCAGGGCACTGGCCATGACATGGGCCAGTGACATGCGGCTCATGCTGTCCTGGACATCAAGGTGAGCATGGGACCATGCTGGTCCTACCATGGCACCTGCAAGGTGACCGTGGGACCACAATGTCCCCCACCATGGCACCTGCTGGTTTGCATCCCTGGTTTGCAGAGGTTTCTTGCTGGGGTCCAGCAGGAAAGCACAAGCTGAAAGCCTCTTTTGTTCCTCCACACCTATTCCCCCACCTCCACCCCCATATTTACGGATTTGCTTTCCCTCCTGGCCCCTTGGCTCATGTTTATTTTTCCCCTCAGCTGAATTGGTGTGAAGGTGGCTCAAAGCAGCTCTGTTCTCTCCCAGCGAGTCGTTTTGCAGTGTAATTCCATGGAAGGGCTTTTCTCTCTCCTTGTTTGCAGCCTGGTTTCCTGCCCAGCGAGATGGGAATCGCCAGCCCGAGCACGCTTTCCCCCACCGGGGGCAAAGGGGGGTCTCAGTATTTTTCTTACCCCAACAATCCTCGCAGGAGAGGTGCTGAGAGCAGCATAGGTGAGTGACTGCGTGTCCCCTGGGTGCCCTTGTCAGACCTGCCTTTGGGAATGAGGACATTGATGCTGGGAATGAGGGACTGATGTTGCCATGTGTGCCCCTGGCATGAATCTGATGGTTGCTCTTTTTTTGGGGAGGGAATGCATATAAATATCTCTTTTATATATAGAGAGAGAGATCTAACCTCAAAAAAGGGGTGCTCAGAGTCAGGTACAATTTCCCTCTTTCTGGAAAATGCCAGATTAGCTGAAAGCAGCAAATGGCTCGAGGTTCTTGTAAAAACACCTCCAGCCACACTGCACATCACTCGTCCTTCCTGGCAAGCCCTGGGCTGCCGTGGAGGCTGTTCCTGTGGCTGGTGGCCCTCCTGGAGCTGCAGCAGGCAGGAGTGGCAGGAGCAGGGTGTAGGAGGCAGCAGGAGGTGCTGGAGCTGTGCCTGGGACCCAGGCAATGCTTGCTCCAGGAGCTCTCCCTGCCCACTCCACTGTACCCAAACAGTGCTTGCCCATGTCTGGATGGAGCTGGGCATAATCTTTTACCAAAGGCTGGGGTCAGGTGTGAGTTTAACTTCAGAGGGAACACAAGCTCCAGTTCCCCAGAACTTGTGTTTCTCGTCACAGTTCCCCCTGCACCCTCCAGAGCCACTTTCCTGCTGCTATTTTGGGCTTTCCCCAATGAGTGAAACCAGAAGTGACCCAGTGATGGGTGCATTTTTCAATGCTTTTCAGAAAAAGGCACCTACTCTGGTGCTGCCACTTCAGCCTGTAAAATGACTCTCTAGCATTCTGTGGGATGAATTTCTGCTCTGGAGGTACATCCGAGCAGAGTCCCTGGCTTGTCAGGTTGCTGTGTTAACACACTGCACCCCCAGCCAGGGCTTTCCTTAATTATGATTTTTTTTTAATTTATGAAAAATAATAAAAATAATTATGGAAAAATAGTTCTAAAATAATAATTATGAAAAATAGAATTTTAAAAAAAATTAGCCAGTGCTTCCCCTTGAGCCGCTTCTGGATGTTTCCCCACACCTCCCTGAACTGTCCCCTGTGTCCCCTCCAGAGCTGGAACTGGAGGGATGGGCTGGGGTCTGTCCCTGGGAAGCACATCCCTGCCTCCTGCAGCAGTAAAGCTTTCTCAAGTCTATTCCTGTGTAGGAAGCAAATGAAAATACAGCCCAGCCCTGCATGTGTTCCCTTTCTGCATCCTCTCTCCACAAACCCACTTCAGGTTAAAAGTGTTTCCAAAAAAAAATCCCAGTGAGGGTTATAACGTTAAATGTTATTACATTTATGGGCTCAGTCTCTCCCAACAAACCCTTCCTGTCCTGGGATCTCTGTGTGGGTGTGAAACCTGCCCCCAAAGGGAGTAGACAAGATTCGGAGAGACTCGTCCTTGGACATTTTCACTGTTGATGCTTCCTCAGCCACAGGACATTTGGGATCTCAGCCCTGTCTGTTCCTGCAGTTTCCAACCCTGGACACTTTTGCTGCAGCTCATTTCCCCTCCCTCTAACCCCTTGAAAACTCACATCCTCTCTTGTCTGATGCAGATGGACAGCCCAAAAAGGTTCGGAAGGTGCCTCCTGGACTCCCCTCCTCGGTAAGTGGCAGCAGTGGGTTCCCATTCGTGCCCTGGGAGCCATCCCTGCTCCCTGAGCCCCAAAACCGCCCGCACCTGCAGCCCCAAACTGACCAACAGTGGGGTGCCAACGTCAACATTTGCAAACTTTGCAGGATTTCTCCCAAATCAAAGCTGCCAGCAGCTAGGGCCCTTCCTGCTGTTAGAGCCCCAGATGCCCCCTCTGAGCTGATAGCCAGACCCTGGGGAAATTGCTTCTTTTTCCCTTGGAAAATGGCCTCCGTTTGCGGCCACTCGCACTGCCTGACACTGGGGTGCCAGCCTAAAAATTCACAAACTTTGCAGGATTTCTCCCAAACTAAAGCTGCCAGCAACGAGGACTCTGCATGCCCTGCATGCATCGCGGGCTGGGATTTTAGTGGGATGGGGAAGGGAATTCCCGTGCGGGAGAACGGGGCAGCGATGGGGAGCTCCCGGGGCAGGAGCCGTGCCCGAGGCCCGCAGCCCGAGCCGTGTTTGCCGCCGTGTCCGGGTGAAAGGCGACACCGCGGGCTCGGGTTTCGCACTTGCGCTGGGGGCAGGCAGCTGAGCCCGCTCCAGGTGTGCGCTGCTTTATAGGAAAGCTGAGCAGCCTGCAGGAATACGCTATCCCTGCTCCCGCGGCTGTTCCAGGGGAATAAACTGAACAATGTCTTTGTGGCTGCAAGTAATGGGATCTGCAGGAAAGCTAATTGGAGCGGGCTGCAGGGTTCCTGCAGGAACACGGGAGCTGTCTGGCGGCCGGGGCTGCATTCCTGGCTGGAATGTTTGCGTGCTTGGAGGGGGACGGCTCTGTCTCATTGGGCTCTGTCCCCAGCCCGGGGCCGTGCTGGAGACGTGCCCTCAGTCTCTGCCAAAGCTGGTGTGACACTGCCCCATTCCCCAGGGAACACCCCCATCCCTGGGGAAATCCGTGCTGTGGCATTCCCTGACTGCTGGTGAACAGCTGTAACCTCCGCCGCAGGCTCTGCCTTTGGGATTGGACCCGAGGTGCTGGTTCTGGAGGACAGAGGGAGGGGAGGGCACCAAGGCCTTGCCAGGTCAGGCTCACAGACCTGGGAGTGTTAGAGGATCCATGTGAATCCGCATGAGGCAGAAACCAGCTCCAAGAGTGTGTGTTTTGACAGGGAAAACCTGCTTGAGTCACAATCTGTGTCACTGCCTTGAGTTTCTGTGGGAAATTTGGAGCTTTAAACCCCAGTCGACATGTGGGGAAAACATCGCCCCAACAAATGGCCTTTATTGGCCTCAGATTTCAAAGTGCTGGGGCTTGGCCCATCCTGCTGGCAGAGCCCTGGAGGACCCTGATTCCCACAGGAAGAGCTGCTTGGCATTTGCTACAGCTCAGCCCCTTCCCTGTGTCGGAATGACACCTGCACTCCAGCCTTCCATAGGATCGTGAAATGGTTTGGGTTGGCAGGGACATTAAAGCCCATGCAGTGCCACCTCTGCCATGGCCAGGGGCACTCTCCACTATCCCAGGGTGTTCAAAGCCCCATCCAGCCTGGCCTTGGACACTTCCAGGGATCCTTCTTTGGGAAACCTGTGCCAGAAAGGAATTTTTCCCCAACATCCAAGCTAAATCTCTGTCTCTGCCCTGGCTGGTGCCTCAGCTGCCCCTTGATGCCAAAGCTCCAGTTTAGAGCACGGGCTGGTTCTGCCTCTTTGCCTCACCCTCCCTGTGCTGGGAGCTCCAGCTTCCTGGTTTGTTTTTGAACTTCCACACCTGGGGAGGCAGATCTGTGCCTAGGCAGCAGGAGAAGTGTGAAGCAGGAGTGGCCTCAAAGGCAGCGGATCAAAGGCTCTTTCTTGTCTGACTCGCCCGTGCAGGAGCCCGCCCCGTGTTATCGCTGGACCCCGTGCAAAATAAATAGGTTAATCAGCATCTTATTAAAATGAAGTGCTTTAATCTGTAATTCCCGAGCTGCTTTGAAAACTCGCCGAGGTCAGCGGCTGCAGGAGCTGAGGGTGGGTGGGTGAGCAGGGAGTGATGCCAAAGGCAGTGAGAGGGATTCAGGGGGTGTGAGCAGCAATGCCAGGCAGGGACGGGCACAGAGGAACTGTGCTGGGAACCCAGGGCCCTTGGGCTCAGTGCTTCTCTCCCAAGGAGGCCACGGAGATGCTCCCAGGGCTGGAGCCCCTCTGCTCTGGAGCCAGGCTGGCAGAGCTGGGGGTGCTCACCTGGACAAGAGAAGGCTCCAGGCAGAGCTCAGAGCTCCTTACAGGGCCCAAAAGGTCTCCAGGAGTCAAAGGGCAGGGCTGGATGGGATCTTGGGCAGGAATTGTTCCCTGGCAGGGTGGGCAGGCCCTGGCACAGGGTGCCCAGAGCAGCTGTGGCTGCCCCTGGATCCCTGGAATTGGTCAAGGCCAGGTTGGAGAGGGCTTGGAGCACTCTGGAATATTGGAAGGTGTCCCTGCCATGGCAGGGAGTAGAACGAGCTCACCTGGACAAGAGAAGGCTCCAGGCAGAGCTCAGAGCTCCTTACAGGGCCCAAAAGGTCTCCAGGAGTCAAAGTGCAGGGTTGGATGGGATATTGGGCAGGAATTGTTCCCTGGCAGGGTGGGCAGGCCCTGGCACAGGGTGCCCAGAGCAGCTGTGGCTGCCCCTGGATCCCTGGAATTGTTCAAGGCCAGGTTGGAGAGGGCTTGGAGCACTCTGGAATATTGGAAGGTGTCCCTGCCATGGCAGGGAGTAGAACAAGATGGGCTTTGGGGTCCCTCTGAACCCAAACCATCCATGAACCATCCATAAACCAGTTAGGTGCTGGCTTGGGGCTGCCCTCAGGGCATGGAGCCCCTTGGAGCCTCCCTGCAGCTCTCGAGCTCCTGGCCACAGGCTGCTGTGTCTGGGCACAGGATCCAGGGCTGGATGTGGCCCCACATCGGCTGCGGTGCCAGAGGAACCTGGGCAGGGATTTTGTGCAAGTTGGTTCCTGCAGGATTTTGTTGCCACAGCGAGTTCAGTGCCTGGGAGCTGTTTCAGGCTGTGCATTCCCAGTCTGGTCACTGCTCTGTTTAGCCTCAGTCTGCCCAAAGTCCCACCCCAGCTCCTGCATTTAAGCAAGAAAAACAGGGAGGAAAAAACAACCCCAGACCACAAAGCGCTGCGAATCCCAGCGCTGGGGCTTTTCGAGCGGCTCTCGCCGCGCTGGCAAATTTTAACCAGAGGAAATGACCTCACCTGGAGGTCCCCAAGGCTGCCGGCCTGAGGGCTGGGGCCAGGGGCTGGGGAGCAGGGCCTGGCCCTGATTTCCAGCTGCCTGCAGCACCCAGCCCGACCCCGCTGCCGTGCCCGCAGACGGCTCCTGGCTCCGTGCACAGAAGGATGGAATTGGCTTTTCACAGCCTCCCCTGTTCTGGACAGCAAAAGGAACAATTAGCAGGGGTCAGGGCCAGGAGTGTGCTGAAACTTGGTCCCCCAGGATCCAGCAGGTGATATTCCAGGGGTGGTGGAGCAGGGTGGGCACACAGCAAGGTGAAATTCCCCCTGCTTTGCAGCCCTGGTCCCTCCATCCCTGCCATTTTATCGCCGTTGTTTTCTCCTGGGTTCCTGGCTTGGCTGTTGGTGCAGCTGCCGGGCGCCTGGCCCCGAGCCAGCCCCTGCCAGATGGCGTGGGGCTCTCAGACGTGCTGCACTCCATTCCCTGTCCCGCTCCCGCTATTTAATCAAATTATAGGAAAAGTCAATTTGCTGGATTCCCGTTCTCCAGTGCCTCCCCCATCCCCCCCAGCCCACGCGCGGCTCCCTCTGCCCACAGCACCCGGCAGCATCCCGGGGACCAGGGCCTGGAATTTTCTTTTTTGAGCAGGGGACAAAGGGCAGCTGCCAGTGTCTGTCAGGATTTGCCCTTCCCCCTCTCTCTTTTTTTTTGTCTTTATTTTACGAGTTCTCTGTAGAGTCACAGAGTCATTAAGGTTGGAAAAGCCCTCTAAGGGTCACAGAGTCCAACTGTTCCCCAGCACTGCCAAGGCCACTGCTGACCCATGTCCCCCAGTGCCACATTCACACATTGTTTGAACACTTCTAGGGATGGTGACTCCACTTCTGCCCTGGGCACTCTGTTCAATGCTTCACAACACTTTCTGTGAAGAAATTTTCCCAATTTCCAATCTAAACCTCCCCTGGCCGAGCCTGAGGCCGTTCCCTCTCCTCCTGTCCCTGTTCCCTGGAGCAGAGCCCGATCCCCCGGCTGTCCCCTCCTGTCAGGAGTTGTGCAGACCCAGAAGGGCCCCCTGAGCCTCCTTTTCTCCAGGCTGAGCTCATTTCCAGCTCCCTCAGCGTCTCCTGGTGCTCCAGACCCTTCTCCAGCTCCACTGACCCTTGTTGGATTTCTGGGGGGCTTTGGGGTCATTTTTTTAAACAAAAGGAAGGCTGGCACAGGCTGTCCAGGGCCATGGTAGAGTCACCATCTTGGAACTGTTCAAAAAACGTGTGGATGTGGCACTTGAGGACATGGGTTAGTGGTGAACATGGTGGTGCTGCTGCTTTCATGGTTGGACTTGATCTTAAAGGTGTCTTCCAGCCTTAAGGATTCTCTGATTGTGTCTTTTATTCACCACCATCAATTTTGTCCCTTTTTGCTGGTGAGGACAAGGGCTGGAAGGGAGCAGCTGGCTGTGGGGAAAAAGAAACTCAGGCAAGTTTCCTTCCCAAAGAGAACTGTGTGTGCCAGGCAGAGCCTGGCCCCTGCCCCACCTCTGCTTTCGGCTGGATTAAAAAAAAAAAGATTATCGGTTTCAGAATGAATCAAAGTAGATGAAAATAACCTGTGACAAAAGTTCTCACATCATCTGAGTGCTATTTCAGTTTCTTTGAATGCCATTTCGGTTTCTTTGCATGTCAAATTTCTGCTTTAAAAAAAGAAAAGTCTGTTTTTGTCCTGGCAGAAGCTGATTTTCGGTCAGGGCTTTCTAGGATGGCTTTGGTTAATTTAGAAGGGAAGGAAAAGCTTTTTCTTCTGCTTAATGTGCTGTTAAATCACAGAGCTGAGCAGTGCTGCAGAAATCTGACCCAAGAGCTGTGTGAGGGCTGTCTGAGATTTGTCCCTCCCCTGTGACAACAGCTATGAGGGGCTGCTCATCCCCACGTGCCTCAGTTCCCCTCAGCCTGGTTTCCCTGAGGGCTTTGAGTGGGGGCTGTGCTCAGCAGCCTGGCATGGGGCAGGGTTGGCACAGGGGGATCCCAAGGCCACACGGGTGCCCACTGTCACCACCCAGCCCGTCCCCCCATTGTGGGGTCACTGCAGCAGTGGTGGCTTTTGTGGTTACCCAGAAAAAGTTATAACCATGGAAAACGGAACTGGAGCAGAGTCGAAACTTCTGCTGGAGCTGGGCAGGTTCTGGGGACCAAGGAGGGTGACAGGAACAAACAGAGATGAGCCCTGTGCCCTGTCTTCTGTGCCCTCTGCCCTGTCCTCTGTGCCCTGTCCCCTGCCCTGCTCCATGTGGGGCTGTGCCCTTTGAGGACTTTGAGCTGCTCCAGTTCCACCTCCAAATCTGCAGTGGGATGAATTAAAGCAAAGCTCCTGGACTCATCAGATGGTTTGGGTTGGAAGGGACCTTAAAGCCTATCCAGTGCCACCCCTGCCATGGCAGGGACACCTCCCACTGTCCCAGGCTGCTCCCAGCCCTGTCCAGCCTGGCCTTGGGCACTGCCAGGGATCCAGGGGCAGCCACAGCTGCTCTGGGCACCCTGTGCCAGGGCCTGCCCACCCTGCCAGGGAACAATTCCTGCCCAAGATCCCATCCTCCTTGCCCTCTGGCAGCGGGAGCCATTCCCTGTGTCCTGTCCCTCCACACCCTTGAAAGGTCAGTTGAGTGAAGCACTTGCTGCTCTGTTGCCATGGGAGAGGTGGTCAAACACTGCTGAAGTTTGAGGTTTAAAGTTAAAGCTGTGCAGGGTTGGGGGCAGCCGTGGTGAGGATGTGGGGCCATGGACTGACCAAGGCCTTCTCTTCAACCCCTTTCCTGCCCCACAGGTGTATCCATCCAACTCAGGTGATGACTACAGCAGGGATCCAGCTGGATATACTCCCTCGAAACCTCCCAGCACTGTGTATCCTGGAGCCTTTTACATGACAGGTGAGTTATTCCCAGCCCTGTGATCCCACACAGGCAGAGCAGGGGCAGCCTTCCCTGTTATGGACCATGGGAGGGATTGCACATTTGGAGGGAGCTCAGGGCAGGAGTGCATGAGACACAATGCAGCCCCAAAATCATCCAATATCCTGAGTGGGAAGGGACCTACAGGGATCATCAGTGCAGCCTCTCTCCCTGCTCAGCCACCCCAACAAGCCCACCCTGAGCACCCCTGGCAGCGCTGTCCAAACGCTCCTGGAGCTCTGGCAGCCTTGGGGCCGGGACCATTCCCTGGGCAGCCTGGGCAGTGCCAGCACCCTTGGGGGCAAGAACCTTTCCCTGAGCTCCATGCCAAGCCCTGGCACAGCTCCAGCCCTTCCTGGCCTCCTGTCCCTGTCCCAGAGAGTTTGTCCTGATTTGCTCAGTGGGTGATGCTCAGCACAGGCAGGACATGGTGGGGTCAGTCCCAGCCCCTCAGCCAGGGCCAACCTGTTCCCAGCTGGGGGCTGCCTGCTGCTGTCCCTGCCCCACTCAGCTCTGGGTTCCTTGCAGATGGACTCCATAACTCACCAGACCTGTGGAGTTCCCCAGGTGCCATGAGCCAGTCGAGTTACGGTGCCATGCTGGGCAGCTCCTCGTCCCCGCTCCCGCAGTCCAGCGGCTTCAACAGTTTACACCAGCATGAACGCATGGTAACGTGTCCCCGTGGCTGTGTCCCCTCCCTGGCACCTTCTGCTCTGGCTGTGGGCCCAGGCCCAGCTGCTGAACCCCACAGCTTTTCCAGGGCTCCTCTCACCCCGCTCCCCCTCCCTGCCAGAACTACCAGCTGCATTCCGGAGAGGTGAACGGTGGACTCCCCTCCGTGTCCGGCTTCTCCTCGGCCTCCACGGCGTACGGAGTGTCCAGTCACACCCCCCCGATCAGCGGCACAGACACCATCATGGGTATGGCCAGGCACAGAGTGACCCCTCGCTCCACAGCCGGGCACAGGCTCACAGGAAAACCAGGGCTTGTGCAGACCTGGTGCCTGAGGCATCCAACACACCCAGACACCTTGGGTCCCTTGTGTGGCACCTGTGCCTGGAGTGTCTGCCCGTGAAAGAGGCACAGGGAGGTTCTGGCTGCTGGAGCTTCTGGGTGCAGGTCTGGGGGTTTACACCTCATGGGGTGGGTCTGGGAGAAGCCCTGCAGCTCTGGTGTCTCCTGGAGGTGCTGTGGCTTAGATGAGTTGTGGGATGGATTTAACAGCTGTGTGATTTACAGCTCCCCTAGACCCAGATGGGAACGTTCGTGCTGGGTTTGGATACCACGTTAACACCTGAGTGCTTTAATCTCTGACCCTTCTGAAGCTGTTACTGAAATGAGTTCGTCCTACCCAGGAAATGACGATCCTGACACTGATTTGTAGAAAAGACCTTGTTTTTCTATAGAGAAGGAAGTTTGGGATTTTTAGAATGAAAGTATCATTAAGGTTGGAAGAGACCTCTAGGCTCATCCAGTGCATTGGTGGTTGTTGGGGTTTGAGATGCTCCATGGCAATGGCTGTGCTGCAGCAGAGATGTCTGATTGCTGTTGGTGGCACTACACCTTCAGCCCAGAGCTTGGAGAGATGTCCCTGCAGCCCCTTGATGGCTTCCAGGGGAAGGTGCCCCATGTCCGAGCTGCTCCGAGCTGGACAAACATTTAATTTTCAAGCAAAGCACTAAAAGCAGAAAATTTCCACCCCAGAGCAGGTGACCCCAAAGAAGGTCCTGTAGGGTACTGTATCCTGCTGGGGTGTGGGGCCTTGGCAGTGGCATCTGTGTCTCTTGGCAGGTAACAGAGGAACCACAGCCGGGAGCTCCGGAGACGCGCTTGGGAAGGCTCTGGCCTCGGTAAGAGTTTGGGATAGTCCTGACCCAATCCCAGTCCTGCTGCTGCAGGGACCCTCTACTCAGCAGGGAACATGCACACATTTAGTGAATGAACCCCAAATCCACAGCAGCCTCTGAGGGAGGGTTTTCCCCTCTCCATGTGCTGTCATCTCAGTCCCAGCACCTTTTGGTGGATGGGGAAACTGAGGCACTGCAGGTTGTAGTGGCTCTGCAGCCCCATTTGCTGCTCTGCTCAGCACCCTCCCAGCCTGGTGCTGCTCTGCCAAGACCACCCTACACAGACCTTGTGGCAGGACTTGCAGGTCCCAGTAGTCCTTGCCCTGTGTGTGCTGGTTCAAACTGGAGGGCACTGGTCTCACTGGGTCACCAGAGTTGCCTGTGTCCTGTTCAGTGATCTTTGCACAGTGGCAGAGGGGTGCTGACAGTGACCCTGCAGCAATTCCTGAGAGCTCCTGCTTCCTCCTGAGAGGGGACCTGAAGAGCAGAGGCTGCACTCAGGGGTGGGGACAGTGGGGACACAGAGAGACCCCAGGGTTAATGGGGGAACTGGGCTCAGTCTTTGTGCTGGCTGTGGATTTGGGAAGCAGCAGGTGGTGGGTGCCACTGGGAGGGGACAGCTAGCTCAGGGTAGCACTGCTGACCATCCCCCTTCTGTCCCTGCAGATTTACTCCCCCGACCACTCTAGCAATAACTTCTCCTCCAACCCCTCCACCCCGGTCGGGTCCCCGCAGGGCCTCGCAGGTGAGTGATGTGAAGGGTAAGGGGGGTGGGGTTTGCTTTGGGGAGCTCCCAGGCAGTGAATTTCCCAGGTCAGTCCCATCTCTCAGCCCAGGGCTGGCAGCAGCCCCAGAACCTTCTCCTGCCCTTCCTGACCCTGTCCCTGCACGTCCCATCTCAGAGAGGCTGTGGCTGGATTTGCCTCCTGTGGGAGAAGTGCAGTGGGACCTGGGAAGCAGCCAGTGGCTAAAACCCACGTTCAGCACCTGCTGAAAGCCCATTCCTGGTCCCCTTGGGCAGGACAGGTCCGGTTGTGCCCAGCAGAGCTGGTGCCCAGGCTTCCTGTGCCCAGGGTGCAGCATAACCTGGCCCCGAGGTCACAGTGACTCGCTGGGACCAGGGACATTGGGACACCTCTCGAGGCCTGAAGGGCTGAGCCAGAGCAGAGCTCATAGTGCCACACAGTGCCACAGTGTCTGTGCAGTGCCACACAGCTCTGTGGTGGCCCATGTGGTGCTGCAGTGGTCCGTGTGGAGCCTTGGTGATCCATTTAGTGCCATGCAGTGCCACAGTGGCCTGTGCAGTGCCATGGTGGCCTGTGCAGTGCCGTGTGGTGCCCCAGCGGCCTGTGCAGGGCCGGGTGGTGCCGGCGCGGCCCGAGCAGTGCTGTGTGTGGCGCGGTGGCCCAGCTTCCAGCCCCACCTAGTGGCAGCCGTGGCCATGGCCGGTCCCCAACTCTGCGTTTGTCCCCAGGCTCGTCGCAGTGGCCGCGGGCGGGCGGAGCGGGTGCCTTATCTCCCAGTTACGAAGGGAGCCTCCACACTTTGGTGAGTGGCACCAAAAATTCCGGGTTCTCCTTTTCTCTCTCTTCCCTCAGACCTTGGTGGGGAAGGGTTTTTGGTGGCGCCCTCTCCCCTGAACGCCTGGAATCAGCTGGTTGGCCAGGAATGGATATTTAGGTAGCAGCAGCTGAGCAGAGCCAAGTGCTGCATCCCTGACCTGGAGTCTCCCGGCATCCTGGCACCCTCCCCCTGCCCCAGCCCAGGCCCATCCCGGTGGTCTGGCCCAGCCCAAGGGATTCCTGGCAGGTTTCTCCCTGCCCTGAGCAGTTCCACTCATGTGACCCATCATGCCTTCAGGGAATGGCACTGGCTGGGGGGGTTATTTCTCCCCATCCCTGCCCTGTGGCACCTGAGTCCAGGATGGCCACCAACCATTCTGCAGTGCAGAGCAGCAGGGGGCTGCTGGATGTATGGGATTGCAGTCATGGAATTGGATTGGAATCATGGAAAGGTTTGGTTTGGAAGGGATCTTAAAGCTCATACAGTTGCACCCCTGCCATGGGCAGAGACACCTTCTGCTAGACCAGGGTGCTCCAAGCCCCATCCAGCCTTGGACACTTTCAGGGATGGGGCACTTAACACAGACCTCTCTCTGTCCTGCCCTTCCAGCAAAACAAAATGGAAGACAGGTTGGATGAAGCCATCCACGTGCTGAGGAACCATGCCGTGGGCCAGACCTCTGCCATGCCCAGCAACCACGGGGACATGCATGGGCTGCTGGGCTCAGCACCAGCACACAGTGCTGCCGTGGGCAGCCTGGGCCAGGCCTTCCCCGCCTCAGTCATGGCCCTGGGGAGCAGGCACCCAAGTCTGGTGAGTGTGGGAGCAATGTGGCAGCTGGCAGGGACACGCTGGGGACACGTGTCACATGTGGTGTGACATGGCATTCAGAGGGACGTGTCCTGTGGTGCAAGAATAGCTCCGTGTGGTCCAGGCTGGGTCAGGTGCTGGCAGCATTGCATGGGTGACAGGCAGAGAAGTCACTTCCCATGTTCCTGCAAGGGAGAGCTGAATCACAGAATCCCAGAGTGGTTTGGGTTTGGAGGGACCTCAAAGCTCATCTTGTTCCACCCCCTGCCATGGCAGGGACACCTTCCACTGTCCCAGGATGCTTCAAGCCCTGTCCAGCCTGGTCTTGGACACTTCAAGGGATTTTGAGGCAGCCACAGCTGCTCTGGGGACACTGAGTCTAGCCTTGGCACAAGCTCTGTGTGCCCTTCCCTTGTGCCCCTTCTCAGGGCAGGCAGAGGTGGTGAGAGAGCTGCTCTTCTTTCCCTGCAACATGATTGAAAATCCCTCAAAAGAACTTCAAGGTATCCCTAGGATATGCAGGGAGGAGAAGAGGGATCCAGTGGGTACAGGAGTGCCAGGTGTCACCAGGAGCTCTGAATGGGCAGGCACCACGTCCCTCTGTGGTGTGTGAGGGCTCATTGCAGCTCCAGGGAATGTGATGGATCCATGGCACCCTGGGCACATGGATGCTGGCGTCCCATGCATCACCAGCGTCACCTGGGTCCCCCCTTGTCTAGAGGCTGGTGACCACAGCAGCACATTTTTGGCAGAGCTGCTTGCTTGCTGCAGCAAACAGTGACACATCTCCAGTCTCCACAGAAGCAGTTGTGATCCCCTTCTAGGCTCCCTGGGTTCTGCTCCTGAGCAGGAAATGAGACGTGTCCTCTGTAGGCTGCTGCCAGCAGAGCTGGCTCTGTCCTGTCAGTCCCCAGCCTGTGTGGCACTGCCTCGGGGCCGTGGGCTCAGAAGGGCCCCTCACCCTTTGCCTCCAGCCCCTTTGCAGCCAAGTTCATGTTGCTGGGATGTCCCTTGCTCCGGTGGCACTAGGGAGGTGCAGACACAGTGGTGCTCCGTGGACACAGGACACGTGTCCTCTCTGCTGTGCTGGCCTTGCACCAGGCACAGAGGGGCTTTTCCTCGGGGCAGGAGACAGCAGTGACAGGGGCTCTGGGCTGGGTGCAGCTCCTGCTCAGGGCAGGGAGCTGCAGTGTCCCCAGCACAGCCCCAGAGAGCTGCTGCAGCAGGCTGGCTCTTCCCTCCCGCACTCCACAGCTGCAGGGGTGGGAGGGTGAGGGCAGCACCCAGCCGTGCCTCAGCCAGTCCATGGAGCCAGGGGTGGCCTGGGGTAACTGCTCAGCTGAATGTCCCCACTGTCCCCAGTGCTGGCCGTGACACATCCCTCCCTGAGGCTCACTCTGCTCCTTGTGCTGCAGGTGGGAGGAGGCCACCCCGAAGATGGGCTGTCCAGCAACCCCAGCTTGCTCCACAACCATGTCACACTTCCATCACAGCCCAGCTCACTCCCGGACCTCAGCAGGCAGCAGGACACGTACAGTGGTAAGGCAGCTCTGCACGGGTGCAGATGGGGCTCACCTGTTCCCAGGGGTCACATGTGCTAAGGGTCACCTGCCGAGGGTGTGGGCAGTCACCTGTGGGGCTTGGGTCCAGGCCTGTGCAGCCTGGGAGGAGATGGATGATGTCTCTGCAAGGATGGTGCTTCCTTGCAGCATTCACAGGGCAGTTTCTGCTTGGAGCCTTTTCCAGAAGTTTTAGAGTCCCAGAATGGTCTGGCTTGGAAGGGACCATAAAGCTCATCCCGTTTCACACCCTCCCATGGACAGGGACACCTTCTACTGTCCCAGGCTGCTCCAGGCCCCAATGTCCAACCTGGCCTTGGACACTCTCATGGATCCAGTGGCAGCCACAGCTGCTCTGGGCACCCTGTCCCAGGGCCTCCCTGCCCTCACAGGAAACAATTCCTGCCCAATATCCCATCTAACCCTACATGTCTGTATTTTCCTGTTCCCCCTGCCAGGTGTGGGTGCACAGTTCCCAGTGCTCTGTTGTGTAGGTTGGGTTCCCAAATTGGAGGGTCTGGGAAGTAAGAGGGAGAACAGAGAGCATCAGCAAGGCAGAGACAGCACCCTCACATCTTCCCTGAGTGTGGAGCAGCAATGCAGGATGAGTTTGGGATGCCACTGCAGGAGCAGAGCCTGGGGACCACCCCAGCCTCCTCTGTGGGTCAGGCCCCTCAAGCTCTGCATGTGGCTCTGCTCTCTCTGCAGGCTTGTCCGGGGGGCTGGGCCGGAGCAGCGTCTCCTCAGGAACAAGCGAGATAAAGAGGGAAGAGAAGGAGGATGAGGAGAACACGTCAGTGGCAGATAACTCAGAAGAGGAGAAGAAGGAGCTAAAACCCTCCCGGAATAGAACAAGGTGCTCTTTGAACAGGTCTCTCCCTTCACTTTCTCTGCTCCCAGGCCAGGGGTGTTTGGGCTGGGGTCCAGCTGCCAGGACCCGCCAGGCACTGGGCTTGGCCCGGTTTGGCCTGGGGTCATCCTGTGGCACAGACCCCCCAGCCCCTGCCCACCCTGGAGCCTGGTGTGGTCTCACACAGCCTGGGCTCCTGCTACTGCCCCAGGGGGAGGGGTCCCTGCCACCCTCCTGCTGGCTCCTATCCCTGTGGCCTCAGGGCATCCTCATGCTCCTAAAGCAGAGGGATGCACCTCATCCCTCACCTGCCTCTGTGGGCACCTGGGGCTGTGCAGGGAAGGAGCAAGTGCTCAGCCCCAGTCAGACATGGTTTGACCGCTTCCCTGCCTTGGGGCATCTCTGCTCTCTGCTTTGGGCTCCTGTATCCTCTGTCACATCCAGCCAGAGGAGTGGCAGTGGCTCAGGTGGAGTCCTTCAGTGTGTTGGCTGCTCTGCAGCCTTGCCACCAGCTCGGAGACCTCAGCAGGGTGATGGTGCCCAGAGAGGCAGCACCAGCCCCACTCCTGCTCTGGAGGCAGAGGGCTTCATCTTCCCAAATTCCAGCTGGGGATTCCAGTGTTTGCCTTCACCTTGTCTGGGCCACCCTGCACACTCCTGGCAACAACCTCAGGCCTTAATCACATTGTGGTTTCTTTCTTTGCTGTTTAAAAACAAAAGAAAACAAAAAAGAGGCAGAAGAAGAGCCTTAACTGCTTGTCTCCGAAGCCCCTGCGTGTCCCTGCACGTGGCACAGGCCAGCAGGTCCTGGCAGGGCGCGTGGGGGTCTCGGCATCTTGGTGCGTCACCGTGTGTTTCTTGTCTGTGAGTTGACCAGTGCTGAGAGTGCACACGAGGAATGTCCCTGTCTCGTTCTTATTTTAAACCATTAGTCAAGATGAGGATGAGGAGGACGATCTTCTTCCCCCAGAGCAAAAAGCCGAGAGAGAGAGAGAAAGGAGGGTCGCCAATAATGCCCGTGAGCGCCTGCGGGTTCGTGACATCAACGAGGCCTTTAAGGAGCTCGGACGCATGTGCCAGCTGCACCTAAACAGCGAAAAACCGCAGACCAAACTGCTAATCCTACACCAGGCCGTATCAGTCATACTGAACCTGGAGCAACAAGTTAGAGGTCAGTGAGGGTCCCGGAGTGGTGATATTTTACGTACCTGATCGGCACGGGGCTGTCTGTCTGTCTGTCTCCTGTGACGTGCTGTGGTGCCTCGCACTGTCTCTCTCCCCTGTGGCCTTGGGGACCAACCCAAGGCTGTCGATGTCCTTTTAATTTTATTTTTTTTGCCTTTTTTGCATCCATCCCTGCTGTTCTCTCCTTTGTCCCCCGCTGCCACCGCGTGTGCTGCATGCTGGTCCCCGTGGGGACACCTGTGCTGTCCTGCTTGCCCGCAGCCAGAAGTGCTCAGTGCTTGGCCAGCAAAGTGACAGAAACCCCACTAGAGAGTCTCCAGAGGGGTCCAGCTCTGCGGTCTCCAAGGGCTACTCTGAGCACAGAGCCCTTTACTTTCCCCTGGGTGTGCCTGATGGGGCTCTGGGCTCCTGTTCCCGCAGTGTGGTGCCTGGCAAAGCCCTGGGCCCGCGGCAGCTGTGCGAGGGCAGCGCTGAGCAGGGCTCAGCCCCGGGCTGAGCAGCCCTCGCTGCCTGCACTGGTGTCCGACACAGGCTGGAAGCGCTGTGCATTCTGAGCCTGGAGCTGCCAGCGGGCGCCTGCAGCCTCTGCCCTCACCGGGACACCCTGAGGGCACGCTCGCTCCCTTCCACGCGTGTGCACCATGGTGTGTGTGCACCCATCGCAGGGAGGGAAGCCAGGGTGGCTGTCCCGGCTGTCCCCCCGCAGGACGTGGCTGCTTTGTCCCGCATCCCGCAGTGCATGCTCCTGCCCCCGCCCCTGCTCCGCCTGCAGCGCGGCTCCGGGGCAGGTTAACCCCTTTCTCTCTGCAGAGCTGTGTAACACGCGTCGGGGGCTGTGCCTGCCTGTGCTCCTCTCTGCTGGCCTTGCTGTGCCTTGATGTTGGAGTCCTTTGTGCCTCTCTTCAGTTTGTAATTTTTTGCCTTTCATAACATGTATATTTTTTCCTGTCTTCTTTTTTAATTTCCCCTTCCTTTTGATTTTTTTTTTTTTTTATTTCAAGTTTTTACTTTTTGGTTCTGTTCTTTCCAATCTCCTACAGACATGCCCCAGCCGTGACCTCTCGGTGGTCCCACTCTACCTTGTACTTGCTGCTCATGGATCCCAGGCAGGACCGAGGGTGGGGCAGGGCTTAGGCAGAGTTGGCACCGTGTTCACTTTGGTCTCCCACGCTTGTCCCTTTTTAAACCCTTCCTAGAGGCAGCCAGAGAGGTGGCTGAGCCCTGCAGACTCCCTCAGCAGATGGTGCAATAGGCAGTGTCCCCTCCTTGGGTTTGTGCTGCTTTCCAGGAGAGAATCCCACCCTCACACCCCCTCTGGCAGCACTGCCATCAGGTCCTTGTGCGCCCTGGGGGGCTGCCAGGATCCTCCCACTGCCACAGCAGCTGCAGGAAGGGAAGGGAGGAGACTGAGGAGTTTTAGGCTGGTTGGTGACCCCCAGGGGCACAAGGCAGCCGAAGCATCCCATCCTGACACACTGCAAGCTGCCAGTGGTACATGCTGGTGGTGGGGACACGGCTCTGTCCTGCCCTGGTGTGACATCCAAGCCTTGTCCCTGCTGGGGAAGCCACCAGCCAGGACTGGCCATCAGCAAGGACCTGCAGCCACCAGGCTGTGCTGGAGGAAGGATCTGGGGTCCTGTGTGGAGGCACAGGTGCCAGGATGGCCCCGTCACCCCACCTGTGCTGGGTGTGTGGAGAGGAGGTGGCAGTGCCAGCTGGGGCAGCAAGGAGGGGACACAGGAAGGGACAAGGCAGCGAGGAGAGGATGCAGCAGGGCCAGTGGGCAGCCCTCTGTCCCACACAGGCACTGCTTGCCTGGGGAGCCCCTGCTCCCCCTTCACATGGCCGTGCACTGTCCAGAGGCTCTCCAGGAGGGCTCTGACTCTGCAGCCCCTCTTTGCTAAAGGCTTATGGCTCCCCAGGAGCCCGAGGCCACAGGCTGTCCCAGTGTCAGGTCTCACCCAAGGACCCTCCTCAGACAGGTATCTTCCTGCAAGAAGTTTTGCTCTGGGGGAGAAGGTCGTCTGCATTTAAATTGGGGCTTTCAAGGGGATGGGCAAGGCCACGGTTCAAGATGCTGCCAGCACAACTTTGCTTCCCCCATCCCTGCCTGTGTCGGGCATCCCAGGGGTGCTGTCAGCAGTGGGGGCTCTCCCAGAGCTTCTGACTGTGCCTGGAAAAAAAACCACCCCTTCTGACAGGCTTTTGGCTGTGTGGAAAGATCAGGATTCATTGTCTGCATCCAAGTCTGATCCTCAGGGCAGCCCAGGCTGCTGCTCCCAAGGCTGCCCTGGCCCCTAAGAGGGTGCCAGGCCAGGCTGCTCCTGCTGCTGCAGCAGCACTGCTTCAAACACCAGCACTGGAAGCTGCAGAATTTGGAATGGAATTTGGGAAGGAAATCTTACAAAGAAGGATTTGCTTCCTGCCAAAATCTCACCATGGGGGACAAACGTGATGTTTTTGGCCAAGAGCCTTCCCCAATCTTTGAGTTTTCAGCTGAAAACAAACAGGAAGGCAAAATTTTGCAGAGGGTAGAAGGTGTTGGTGGGTGATGCTGCATCAATGCCCACCCTTGCCCCCAGTGGCCCCTCCAGCCCCCTGGGCACCTGGCCCTGTGCTGGCAGCACCTTCCCTGGGCTTGCAGAGGTGACACAGCCTGGGCTGCTCTGGGAAGCACCCAGAGGAATTGGCTTTGCAAAGTGAGGCCGTTTGGGCCATTCCCAGTGGACACCCGGAGCACTTCCAGCACGGCAACATAGAGCCCCCCTCGGTGGCACCCCCTGACTAACCCCTGTGGTGCTGTGAACCCAGCAGTACAGACGAGGCCTTGTCACTGGAGGACAAAGATCTGAGGGACCGGGAGAGGAGAATGGCCAATAACGCCAGGGAGAGGGTGCGTGTGCGGGACATTAACGAGGCCTTTAAAGAACTGGGACGCATGTGCCAGATGCACTTAAAAACGGACAAAGCACAGACCAAACTGATCATCCTGCAGCAAGCGGTGCAGGTCATTCTGGGCCTGGAGCAGCAAGTACGAGGTATGGTACCGCTGGCAGGTGCATTTCGGGGCCTGTCTCTTCCCCTTGGCTCTGCATGCTTCTGCTTCTCTGTCCTGACTCTGCTTTCGGTCTGAGCTGTGTGTTTGTAGTGCCAGCAGCACCTCTGGCTGCTGAGCTCCCCCCAGCCCCAGCTCAGGGTGGATTTGAGGCTCCCCTGTCTCTCTGCTCATGCTTAATATAATTTGGCACCTCGATCCCATTAAGCAGCTTTGAAAAATTCAGTCCTCAACTCTGAGTGCTGACTGAGGCACTTGGGGGGTCCTGTAACAAGCACATGGAGATGCCCTGGCAGAGGGTGCCCAGAGCAGCTGTGGCTGCCCCTGGATCCCTGGAAGTGTCCCAGGCCAGGTTGGCCAGGGCTTGGAGCACTCTGGGATAGTGGAAGGTGTCCCTGCCCATGGCAGGGGGTCAGAACAAGATGGGTTTTAATATTTCTTCCAACCCAAACCATTCCATGATTCCATGTTGAAGTGGGGGTGCAGCTGGGCCTGGGGTTCTGCTGGAGCAGGGGCCTGGCGGGTCCTGCAGGGATTGGGGGCTGCAGCGAGCGCTGCACGGTGCTCATCTCCTCACACAGGCCTGCCTGGCATGGTCCCTGCTGTCCCTCTGGGACGCTGCTGCCAGGGGTGATGCTGTTGCCCAGACTGAGGTTGCTCCCCTCCCTTGCTGTTTTGGGCACAGAGCGCAATCTGAACCCAAAAGCGGCCTGCTTGAAACGTCGGGAAGAGGAGAAAGTGTCCGGAGTGGTAGGAGACCCCCAGATGACACTGTCAGCTTCCCATCCTGGTCTAGGAGATGGTCACAACCCTGTTGGACACATGTAAAGGTACTGTTCCCCACCTTGGATCCCACATCCCCGGGTGGGTCCAGCCCTGTGCCCACGCCCTGCTCTGCTCTGGCTGGTCAGCCCCGCTCCCTCAGCAGCAGCCTTGCTTCATTTCCCTGAAATCAATGACTTGCATGTGTGCAAGGCCTGGCACAGGGTGCCCAGAGCAGCTGTGGCTGCCTCATCCCTGAAGTGTCCAAGGCCAAGTTGGAGGGGCTTGGAGTGACCTGAGATAGTGGGAGTAGTCCCTGCCCATGGCAGGGGTGGAATAAGATGATCAAGGTCTTTTCCAGCCCAACCCATTCCATGATTCTCTCTCTGTGTCATGTGGCCCCCACCCAAAGCCTCTGGCCCACAGCACAGTGCAACCCCATAGCTGGGATGGGGGGGTTTGGAGCTCTCTGAGTGGGCTCAGCTCTGCCCTGCACCTCTCAGTCCTGCTCTAGCTGGCTACTGGAAACCAGCAATTCCTTTTCCTTGTGAGTCTATGAGAGGGAATGGGCAGGTCCCAGAAATGCCAAGAGAGTCAGAGAAAGTGAAAATCCCCTGGTGAGGCTGTGGCAGGCACAGACTCCAATGGGCTGTTCCAACTTTTAAGGGACCCTGGGAGCATCTGAGCAGTGCAGAGATGGTGGGGGGCTGAGCAGATCCAGGAGTGGTAGGTCAGGAGCTGATCCCACGGAGGGCATGGAGAGGGTACAGTCCCTTGGTGTCCCCTGCCCGAGTGGGTGCCTGGGGATGGCCTGACCAAAACAAAGGCAAAGCTCAGCTGCAGCCCTGCCCAGCCCTGCAGGGGCAAGCTGCAGCAGGAGCCCTGGGGCCCCCTGTGCAAGGAGCACAGTTTTATTCCCATTTGGGCTTCTATCACTTCAGACTTTTCTTTTCTTTTTTTTTTTTTATATTTTATTTTATTTGTAGATCTTTTTGTTCCTCTGGATACGGAGATCTGTAGGAAGAAAACCCTTGGTGTGACCTGCAACCCTGTTGAACCATAAACTGTAGTACTGCTCATACTGACACACGCAGACGGATCCTGGCGTGACGTAAGGGGTGGAAAAAACACTTTGTCAAAAACAAAACGGAAACAAAAAATTGCCTTAAGTATAAAGTGCAGAACAGTCAATACATATCACTCAGTTAGGAGGGGGTGGCGTGTTCTCTTGGCTTGTTCACAAGCAGCCAGCAGCAAAATTGTGCCTAAGCTTGATATTTCTTTTTTAAAAAAAAAGAACATTAGTTATGAGATTTTTTTATGTAGAACAAATAGCAATGCCTTTTGGTTTTTTTAGCTTCTTTTGCATATGTTTTGTAAGCAACGAAAAAATTTTTTTTTGTATAAAAACATGTCTTGTACCCTCCGCTTTTCTGCTGCTGTTTCTATAGTTAACGTTGCATCTTTAGGATCAACCAGAATATTAAAATTGTATTAAGAGAGACTGGATATAAAGAGAGGAATTCTCAGATTCGGCTCGGAAAGCCACTAAAAGCGAATGTAGCCACAGTGAGGGAATGTTCTTCCTTGCCTGGCTTGTACCTTCCATGACAAAAAACAAACTCGTGCTGAATTCACCATCTCTTTTCTTCGGCCACTTCTGATTTGGGAAAAGGAAGTTAAACAGCAAAGCGAGTGGCAGCAGTGCTCCCGCTCCCCGGGCAGTGACTGAGGCGCTCGGCGAGGTTTGCCTTGTCCCGGGGATGCCGAGGCCCCCCGGGGCAGAGGACGAGGCCGCGGCTGTTCCGGAGCGTCGCCGTGGGGAGGACGAGCTGCTGGGAGAGGGCAGCCCCGGGTGGAGGACCAAGGGACTGAGGCGCTTCCAGGTGAGCAGAGCAGCAAGGGATGCACGAGGGAAGCGCCTGTTCCCACAGGGCAGAGCTGCCCGAGGCACTTCCAGGAGCAGCACTGAACAAAGACCGAGTGAACAAAGCTGGAGCACTGGCAAGAGGCGGAGGCAGCGGAGCAGCAGCGGGATACAGGGCCAGGAAGCCGGGCAGCAGCAGACTGAGGGTGCTGGAGGCAGGGAAGGAGCAGCGAGCCGTGAGCAGCAGCAGGATCCCTTCTCACACTGGAGCCATCGGAAATGCAAAATGCTGCCTCGAGGAAAGGGGTGGCTTCACACCCCACTGTCACCTGCTGTCACATCTCCCAGGCATCCTTGGAGGCAAACTGAGCTCAGCACTGCCACGGGATGTGAGTGGCCACAAGTCACCTGCACATGGGCTCCTCCCTTGGCACTGGGAAGGAGGGCAGCAGGAGCTCCTGTCCTTGTGCTCCAGCAGCCAAGCTGGGCCAGCTGTCCCTTCACTCCAAGGGATTCCCAGTCACTCCACACCACTCTGGTGTGCTCAGCAGGAGGAGGATCCCTGGCAGCCCCTCTGGGTGCCCTGGAGGTGTGGAGCAAAGAGGTGCTGGGCAGTGCTGAGCTGCAGCAGCCGGTCTGGAGATGGCCATGGCAAAACATCGACCAGGAATTTGCTCGTTTCTTCCCTCTCCTTCCCTTTGTGAAACGTTTTGTGCCTGGTTCTTCCCAGCTCTGCGGAGCCCAGTCAGGCAGGATGGTGCAAGAGACATGGGTACTGGTCTGGGAGGAAGTGGGGAACTCCCCTCTCCCCTGCAGGCTCTATCTCTCCCTGTGCTGCTCCAGCCTGGGCTCCTGGGGAAGCTGTGTTGCTGTGGCACAGGGAAAGGGAGGGACTGGCAAACAGGATTAGGTCCTGTGGCATTTGCCAGCAACCCCAGGCTCTTGGCATAACCTGGTGCTCCTCCACGTGCTTTGTGCTGGGGCAAGCTCTGCTGGAAGTGCTCAGGGCAGTGCTTATCTCCCACCCACACCTGGGCACTGTGGCCTCAGCCCCTGTGGCAGCTCCAGGCTGAGCCACTCCAAGTGCCAGGGCAGGATGGGACTGTCCCTGCTGCCCCTGGCCCTGCTCCGGGGCTCCCCAACATCCACCATCACTCTGAAGCTTTTGGGTGCTCCCACCATTCCTTCTGCATGGTGAGACCTCAGCAGCCCCAGCTCTGTCCCTGGGAAGGGCAGGAAACTCAGTGGTTCCAGTAAGCCAGTGCTTCTTGCCTGTGTCAACAGATGCATTTTAGCCTAATCAGCTCGTCAGGTTACACCACTTCCCTCCCTGGGGCTCTTGTGGGTGCTGAAGCAGTGGGCAGGGAGATGGATGAGGTTTTCCTCCCTGTGTGACAGCCTTGACTCCCATTCATGCTCTGGAGTGCAAACTGGAGGGCTCACCAGCTGCTTTCTGTTTCATCCTGCTCCATTGGTGGGACTGCTGGGGCTGCAAAGTACCCACTGCTCAGGGGTTTTGGCTGGCTCAGTGCCCCTGTCCCAGGACCAGGAGGGATGGAGCAGTGTCCCAGCCCTGGAAAGCTTGAAACCCTACAAAAAATATTTAAAAGTGGTTCACAAACCCTTTGATTTTGCCCCAGGAATTGGAGGTGGCAAGAATGGTCAACTGGACTTAAAGGGACTAGTCAAGAAAAATCCATAAATTCAACAAAATTGGAAACCTGAGAAGATCTATGAGTTGTCCACAAATTTGCTGAACTTCTTTATCCCCTCCTAGTGCTGTAGGCCAAGGAGGAATCCTGATGAGCCAGAGCCTTTCTCACCATGCCAGAATCTCCAGGCATTGCAACAAAAATGGGGCTTTTCATCTTAGGTGGTTTAAGATGTTACTTATGACAGCAAATCCAGCCAGCTTCCTTCCATGGCAAGACTTGGGTGAAGATCCTTAAGCATGAGCCCTCAGAGGCAGGGTTTGGAGAGATCATCTCAAAAGCACAATGTAGGGGGTGGCACTGCTCTCCCTGGAGCAACCTTGATGGCACAGGGTGACAGTTTTGTGTGCCAGCCCAGTGTGGCCTCAGTGGCATCTATGCTTTCCAGGTGCTCAGGAAACAATTGGGAAGAGCAGCAAGGAAAAATTTGTCTTGCCAGTGTGTTTGGCTCAGTGTGAACATGGTGCCTGTAATCTGCCAGGGAAAGTGGTTTTTCTAAAAACAACCATTGCCAGGTGCTGTCCCCAAAATACCACCAGCCCAGCCCAGAAATGTCACCCTGTAGCAATGAAACTCTTGTCTTTAGGTGTTGTGGTCAGTGAGGGCCAGGTCTGCACTCTCCCCAGCCCACAGCTCTGCTTCATTCCACTTGGGATCTCAGAGATCCCCAGACCTGCTTCTTTGCCTGTCTGTGTGTCCCCCACAGCAGTGGTGCTGCCAGGAGAGGTGTCACGGTGGGTGACATGCTGTATGGTGCCATTTATTCCATTTTCTCCTTCCTCTCTCAGCCTTTGCTTGCATGGCTGCTCCTGGGGGCACATGCCCTCCTCTTTGGGGGCCACTGAGCCCCCCCAAAGCTTCCTTCATCAGATGGGGGAGCTGCCTTCCCTTCTGTGCAGCTTCTAGTCCCTCTTTCCCCAGGCTGCATCCCAGTGGGGCACTGCCATGGGACATTTCCTGTGTCCCCAGCCCAGGGGCCTCCTGTTGCCCTGCTCAGCCAGCCCCCTGCCTCCCTGCACACAAGCTGTGCATGCCACAGGACTGGGGAGCATCTGCAATCCACTCTATGAACAGGAAAATTGCAGATTGTTGTTTTCCCCCTTTTCACCTGCTTTTTCCCCAGAGCAAAGCAGCTGCAGCCTCCCATGGGTTGGTGTTCAGGCAGTGGTGGCAATGTGGCTGCTCCTGCTCACAGCCCGGGGAGCCGAATTCCAGCTGTGTGGCAGTCACCCCCTGTCACAGCCCCCAGCCCAGGGAGCTGAATTCCAGCTGTGTGGCAGTCACCCCTGCCCGTGACCCCCACTCACAGCCCCAGCCAGCAGCTCTCAGGGCTCTCTGCTCCCCTGCTTTCACAGCTGCCCCCCAGAGCTGTGCTGGCAGGAAGGATGGACTCAACCTGTGGTTTCCTCAGGAGGCTGTAATTCCAGAGTCAGGGCAGAAACTGCTCTCCAAGGTCCCTTGTGTCCCACCGGTGTCCCCACTGAAGCCAGCAGAGCTTTTGGGCCCTTGCTGAGTAGTTCCAGTTGTGGGGGATGGAGAAACAGGAGGTTTTGGAACCCCCCCAATCCCCTGCACCCCTTGAGCTTTGCTGCCAACTTTGTGGCCAGTGGAACCCGAGTTCCTCTTGCAGGCCCTGCTGTGCTGTACTGGGGAGCCTGGGCCAGCTCCAGTTCTATCCGTGGGCTGTGGGAGGTGAAGCAAAGCTGGGGATGGAGCTGGGCCTTGAGCCCTCCACGTGCAGTGCTGGCAAACCCAGAGCGAGCCCTGGCCACTGGACTCCTCCATTCCTGCCCAACACCAGCAATAGCAAGGCCTGTTTTCTGTACCCCGAGCTTGCACAAGGTCTTTGCCCTGTTAAAAATCCTATGCAAATCTTATCCCTCTCCCCTCTCCCGGGGCTCTGCTGATCCCAGCCCAGCCAGTTATCTCTGCTCTTGTCTGTAATTCCTGCTCCCTGCTGCCCTCAGGGTCCAGCTTCATTCCTGGCAGCTCCAAAAGCATTTTGAGACCTGTGCTCTGGAGCTGGGAGGGGGCAGGTGAGACTGTAGGAACACCCAGCTCCTACTGAGCACTGAACTGGAAGGGGCAGGGCCTGGTCCTGGGGCTCCTCCATGCACCCTTGATCCTCCTGTGCCTTCTGCTCGATGCTGGTGGGGCTCTGCCAGCATCCCTCATCCCCCTGAAAGGAGAAGCTCTGTTCCACCTTGCTGCTGCCCAGACTGCCCTGTTCTAACACCTGAGCCGCAGGCTTGGCTGGGGCTGCTCTTCCTTCAGCCACCCCAAGCCTGAAGGGCTTTGTCCCGTGCTCCCCAATCTCTCCAGCCAGCATCTCTGAGCTGTTTCCCTTTGCAGAGGGGCAGCCCATGCCAGCAGCTGCCCATCAGCTGGGATGCAGGCAGGAGGATTTGGGGGGTGGGTGCTGCCAGTGTCCCACAGCACAGCTCCCTCTCCCTGCTCTTGGGGACCTGGTGCTCTGTACTTTGATTTCGAGGACAATTCAGCCCTTTTGGGGAGCCAGCACAGCTGTGCCTGCAGGACTCCCACGGGGAGGGGGCTCTAGTTAGGAGCGTGGTGCAGGCTCCTCATGACCTTCTGCCAAACTTTGTGTGTCCATCTGTAGCCCAGCTCTGGGCCAAGGACACTCCTGTCGTGGGTCTCCACATTGGTATCTCTGTTCCCCTGGGTTTGTACCCCTCCTGCTCCTCAGGGCTCCCCGTTCCCACCCTGGCCCAGCCAAGCGAGGCTCTAACTAACACTCACCGCAGGACATCTCAGCCCAGCGTGGCTGCAGCACCAGCCCAGGAGAGCAAAGGCATTTCTGCTTCCAAAGGGGATGTCCTGGTACCGAGGCCATTGGCCAAAGAGCATCCCCGTGCCCTGCATCCCTGGGCTGTGCCCCGGGAACCATGGAGCTCCTGGAGGCAGTGAGCTGGGGACACCACGGGTCCCCCTTGCCAGGGCCACGTCTTCCCAAATCACCAGAACCCACCAGCTTTTGGGCAAACCTTGTACCATGGAGCCACCTGGGAGGGAAGGAGCCACTGCTCCTGTGCCAGGAGAGGGGAAAGAGGCGCCTGGGGAGGCAGGACAGGGAGGATCCCAGCATTGGGAATGACCTGTTGGGTGCCGAGGGCTCCAGCTCTCTGGGGAAACAAAGCATTCCTGGGATGTTCTTTATATTTTTGTAGGAATGGGGGGTGGGAGAGCAGATGGGAGATGCCTGCGGAAGTTGTTTATTTTTAACCCTGTAGAAAGTTATGGGTTGTTTTTGGTTTTTGGCCTTTAAAATGAAAAATGGTCCTTGCTTTTGATGTTTATGCTGCCTACCTGTAAATCCAGATGTACTTAAGTGGCTGAAATCCTTGTTCTTAAATCAGATACACATTATAGTTTTGAACTATATATATAGTAAATATATATATATATATGCCTAACCCAGCAAAAAAAAAAAATTAAAAAAATAAAGTATTTGGGGGTGGGAAATGCGTTGCTCTTTGAAATGAATCACAATTGGGGGATGAAATTGTGTTTCTGAGTGCCTCAAGATATGAATTGTTTTCATTTTTTTAAATAATTTTATACAAGTGTCAAAACAGCTGGCTGGATTATTTGGAATTTTTAAATAATCCTAACTTTTTTAAAGTAGATTTTGAGAACTGTCCTGTATATAACAGTAATGTAGCAATAAATGTGACATTTTATAACAATATTACTTTTTTTTATCCCCATGTGTGTCCTTCAGATGTTGTATCCCTAGGAATGAAAAGCTGGAATAAAGGCTTTGCCTTGTACTAAAAAACAAAAAACAAAAGAAAGCATGAGACAGGTTTTCAGACACTTGCTCTGGGTGTGGATTCTGCCCCTGCTTTGCTGTTGTTTCCTTGTCTCTGCCCCATCATCCACTTACATCCAGTTAAATGCCCCCAGCCCATCCAGGAGCCCAGCACAGACTGGTCATGGGAGAAGTTCATCAAATCAGAGCCGTTAAAGTTGAAAAAGACTTTTCAGGTCATCGAGTCCAACAGTCAGTTCAGCACTAGCCCATGCCCCAAGTGCCACATCCATTGTTTGAACACTTGCAGGGATGGTGACTTCACCCTTCTGCCTAGGGCAGCCTCTGCCAGTACCTGGCAACCCTCTTTGGGAAGAAATTATTCCTAATATCCAACCTAAACCTTCCCTGGCACAACCTGGGGCCGTTTCCTCTCATCCTGTCCCTCGCTCCCTGGGAACAGAGCCCGACCCCCACCTGGCTCCATTCTCCTGCCCCTCAGGCTCCAAGGTCCCCCAGGACTGTCACAGACTTAGACTGATTCGGGCTGGAAAGGACCATAAAGCCATCTCATTGCACTGCCTGCCGCAAGTAGGGACACCTTCCACTGGACCACAATCTCCATCCAGCCTGGCCTTGGACACTTCCAGAGCCGAGGCCTGTGCCTGGAAGCAGCCTTCCTTCCCCAGGTCTGCTGCCTGTGCTCTCACTGTGCTGCTCCGGCTCGAGGCTTGTCTGCACAGAGCAGGACAAACAGTCCAGACTAACTGACAAGTGGCTCTGGCAGTGGCTGGTTAAATCTCCCTTAGCCTTGGGTGCCTTTTCTCAGCAGTGAGGCAGATCTGCCCTTCGTGAGCTGCTCTGGGTGCATGGATGACAGCCCTTCCTTAGACTGCATCATAAAACCACAGAATCATTAAGATTGGCAAAGACTTCGAAGATCACCCAGTCCAACCATTACCCCAGCAGCACTGCCATGTCCAGCACTAAAGTGTCCTCAAGAGCCACATCCACACATTTTTTAATGCTTCTAGGGATGGTGACTCCACCACTGCCCAGGGCAGCCTGTGCCAGCTGTTTACAGCTCAGATCCAGATGAGGGAGAAGTGTGTGCTTGGGAGCAGCTGGAAGATGGATGCTCAACAAATGCACAAGGTGGAGCATAAAGCAGGCGAGTGCCAGTGTCCGGAGCAGGCTTGGGCTGGGGAGGACAGCAGCAAGGAGCAGTGCAGAGGGGCTGCTGAGAGCATAGTGAGCAGTGGCCACCAAGTGAGCTCCTGCCAGCACTGCCTCCCTGGAGATGAGTCACTACCAGCTGGAGATGAGCTGGGATGAGACTACCAGATCCTAAGGGCAAATGTCATGTCATGCTTGCACCGCCAGACAATCACAGAATGGTTTCGGTTCTAAGGGATCTTAAAGCTCACCCCATGGGCAGGGACACCTTCCACCATCCCAGGCTGCTACAAGTGTGGTCCAGCCTGGCCTTGGGCACTGCCAGGGATCCAGGGGCAGCCACAGCTGCTCTGGGGTGTCGATCCAGAGTTCCTCCCGCATCTTCAGAAGCAGCTGAGCAGGCTCCAAGCAGAGCCTGGGGAACAGTATGGAATTGATGGTGATTTTATGACCCTCTCCTGAAAAACCTGGCTGGAAACTGCCTCTCCTGTTGGGGGACACTGAGCGGCCGTGACAGGGGGGTTTGCGGGGGCACTGACGGGCTCTGGGGACACCACTTTGGGAAGGGGGCACTTCCCTCCAGCACAAGAGGCTGGGAAGCAGTCCCAGCTCAGTGCAGGGACACTGCCACCCCTCAGGGCCCGTGTCCCCTCTCCAGCCTGGGTACATCCTGTCCCCTCAGGGTTCGTGCCAGGCTCTGTTCCCTCTCTGGTGTGAAAACAGGCATCATGTCCCCTCTGCAGTGTAGGGGCAGCCGGTTCCCCCAGGGCAGCTGCTGTCCTCCCTCCGGTGTGGGGACAGCTCGTCCCCTCGGCCCATGTCCCCTCAGGGCTCGTGTCCTCTCAGGGCTGCTGTCAGGGCTCTTGTCCCTCCCCAGCATGGGGACAGACCGTCCCTCCAAGGCTCGTGTCCCCTGTCCGGTGTGGGGACAGCCTGTCCATCCATCCCACCTGTCCATCTCTATCCCACCTGTCCACGGAGCCGCGAGCCGCAGGTGGAGCTGCAGGTGATCGCCTCCGGCCCCGCCCCTGACCTGTTCCACCTGTCCACCCATCCCACCTGTCCATCCATCCCACCTGTCCACCTGCCCGTCCCCTCGGCCCGTGTCCCCTCAGGCCTCGCGTCCCCCTCCAGCACAGAGACAAGCCCGTCCTCTCAGGGCTCGTGTCCCATCAAGCCCCGTGTCCCATCTGGGCTGGTGTCCCCTCTCCAGCCTGGCGACACTCCGTCCCCTCTGCTGGTGTTTCCTTAGTGCCCGTGTCCCCTCAGAGCGGCCCGTGTCGCCTCAGCCTGGCCCGTGTCCCCTCAGAGCGGCCCGTGTCCCCTCAGGGCGGCCCGTGTCCCCTCAGAGCGGCCCGTGTCCCCCCAGGGTGGCCCGTGTCCCCTCAGGGCGGCCCGTGTCCCCCCAGGATGGCCCGTGTCCCCTCAGGGTGGCCCGTGTCCCCTCAGGGTAGCTCGTATCCCCTCAGGGCGGCCCGTGTCCCCCCAGGATGGCCCGTGTCCCCCCAGGGTGGCCCGTGTCCCCTCAGGGCGGCCCGTGTCCCCCCAGGATGGCCCGTGTCCCCTCAGGGTGGCCCGTGTCCCCTCAGGGTAGCTCGTATCCCCTCAGGGCGGCCCGTGTCCCCTCAGAACGGCCCGTGTCCCTTCAGCCTGGCCCGTGTCCCCTCAGGCCCGCGTGCAGCCCCGCGCGGGGCCGCCTCCGCCGCAGCCCCGCCCCGCCGCAGCCCCGCGCGTGCTCGGAGCGGCCCCGCCGCCGCCGCCGCCGCTCGGGGTCACTTTGTGAGGCGGCGCCATCGCCATGTTGAGCCAGCTGCTGGGGCCGCGCTACGCGCAACTGCTGCGGACCTGGTGAGGAGCTGCCGGGCTGCCCGCGCCGCGCTGGGGCTGCCCGGGCCTGCCCGCTTCCACCCGGGGCTCTCTGTCCGCTCCGAGCCGGGCTCTGCTCGCCCCGCCCGGGTCTGTTCGCCCGGTCCGGGGCTCCGCACTCCCCTCACCGCGTCCTCCGCGCCCTGGGCGCGCTCTGTGGGAGCCTGAAGGGCATCCCGACCCCTGCCCGAGGCCTCCCCGTTCCTTCCGCGCCCTGTGAGGGTCGCTGGGGACGGTGCTGGGGTGCGGAGCAGCGCTCGGGCCGGGCTGAGGGGCCGAGGAGCCGCGGACAGGGCTTGCGGCCCAGCCGGCGCTGGCTGCTTCACGTGCGGTAACAGAGCAGCGCCGTGGGTGCCCTTTGCAGGGCTGTGAGAGACAAAACGACGGGGCAGAACCGACGGGATGTGGCGGCAGCAGTGTATGGCAGTGGGTCTTCTCTTTGCTGTGCAGTAGTTTTTTAAGTAAAAGACTGTAATCTTTTTCCTGTCAGATATCTTGTCTGCCCTGAGGACTAATGCTGTTCCATGTCTGTGAGGTTGTTTCAGTATTTCTGTGTCCAGAGGGGCTGGGCTGAGCATCCCTGAGGGTCCCTTCCAGCTCAGGATATTCTGGAATTCTAAGCTCTCTTCCTGATTGAGATGACTTTCTCAGGTACCTCAGCCATGAGCCTCTGCCAGGTCTTTCACAGTGGTAATTTGTTGTTTCCCTGGGTGTGTCTGTCCTTTAGGACCCCCACCCTGGTGACATGGGGTGGTGTGGCTGGCGTTGGTGTGATCTGGGCCACAGATTGGAAGCTGGTCTTGCAGTACGTTCCGTACATCGGCGGCAAGTTCAAAACTGAAGACTGAGCTTCCCTCTAATGGTGAGTTTTGTTTGTACATCTCATGGCTTAATCAGTAGAATTATAAAATCACAGAATCCCAGATGGGTTTGGGTTGGAAGGACCTTAAAGCTCACCCTGCTCAGCCCCTGCCATGGGCAGGGACACCTTCCACTATCCCAGGTTGCTCCAAGCCCTGTCCAGGACAACCTAGCCTGCAACACTTGAACACAATAACCCTCTGTTGCTGTGACAGTGGATATTTCTTCTTTGCCTGGGGCACAGTCATATTTTTTCTATTTTTTTTTTAAGTGGTGCTTTACAGAGCACCAGAAGGATGGAATATTCATTAGAATATGTTTTTCAGATTAATATTTTGCAAGCAGCAGGTCTTCCACAACATAATGCAGTTCTTGGGAGGTCAAATCAAGCTAATTTGGAACTTCTGATTTATCTGTTTACTTCTGTTCCTGAGCAGAAGAGCTACAAGCTCAGGACTTGTTTTATGGCTAGGCAAATTCAGACTCCTTTCTGCTCCGTGTAACTGGTATTAAAAATAAATTGAATTTTCAGAGCTGGTTATTGTATTCCACAAATTCCTTGGAAGATTTGCTTTCTCAAGGTTTTGGTTCTTTTCCTTCTTTAAATGCATATCAGAAGTGCTGTTCTGAATGTTGTGAAAGTCTGACCATTCCTAAAGCTGGAGCAGTAATTAGACAATCCTTCTGTAGGGGCTCTAAGTGCATATTCTTTCTAGTGGGCAGGCTTTGGATTTCTTTATTCCTTGCTGCAGACAGAAGGGAGTCAGGAGGATTTTTCCATTCATTAAAGGATGCTAATGGAGAAACTCTGAGTCCTGAGAAAACTCTGTCCACCTCAGGGTTTGTTTCTTCTGGTCAGAATAACAGTTACATCTAAATGTTGATTAATGAAAGCGAGTTATTTGTGTTCCAGCTACACAGTATTTTGTAGAGAAGTCAGTCAGTTTGGAAAGCACAGGCAGTACTTTTTAAGTCCTTTTCCAGCAATAATTGTTGCAGTTTAAACAATTTACTGTTTGCAAACTTTGTATTGC